ATAATAATCCCGTGCTTCGGACTCTCGGATACACTACTATATGCTTGGCCGATAATTAAGACTAGTTATGGACAATTGACGGAGGATTTTAATTTATCAAGAAATAAATACTTGTTGAAATCAAAAGGCTAAAATAAAAAAATATTAAGTTAATTTCACTGACGTCCCTTCAGGTTTGGCCAAATATTATATTGAAACAATTTTTGAAAATTACGATCACTTAGGTCCAATTTTACTTTTATGTTACTAACACCGTTAAAAGCATGCGATAAGACAATTTTATCCCTAATTTTTTAAATTCATTTTAATTCCAAATATCACAAAAACTTAAAAGACAAAATTACCCCCATTTATGTATTTCTCTAAAATTCACACTCTTATCTTCTTATCTCCTAACCTTCTGCACACCCTCCCTTCCAATGTCTCAGGCCCCTCAACAGACCCACTGATCACTCACCTCTCTTCTCCACAACCTATAAAAGATTGGTGATTTTGTGGTTGTCCAGTGTACACTCCCTCATGTGACCCACCGACCCAATATTTCTATAACGGAGAAGGCAAAAATTAATTTTGAATTGTGAAATGATGCTATGAATCTCCCCAGCGCTTTTTTTTTTTTTTTTTTTTTCCTTTTATTTTATTAGATTGAAATTATATTTTGTGCAAATTCAATTTTTATGTTGTCAAAAATTCTGCATACCCATTTGGCTCCTTTTAGTTCTACATGTTATATATATATATATATTTAAAATTTTGCACACTCATCCAATTTTTATATTCTATATTTAAATTTGTGTTCTTCCGTGGTCTGGTGATATGTGTGTGTGTGTGATTGTGTGTACGTATATGTGTGTGTGTGAGACTGGTGTGGGCATGGTGGTGATGGTGATTGTGGTGGCTGAATGACCCATTTTTGTTGTACAAAAGGACAATATAGAATTATATAAAACCTTTTTTTTTTATTTTTTATTTCAAGCTTCATCAGTGACATAAAACTGGAGTTGGTGATCTGGTGGGTGGGGACAAAGAGGGTGGTGAGAAGAGAAGACTGGATAGTTTTGATAGAGTAATGGGTATTTTGGTCATTTAACATGGATATTATGGGGTAGTTAAGTTATTTTATACATAAGAAAATCATTTATAAGTCAAAAGGATAATAATGTCATTTTACAAGAAAAAATGTTCTGACAAGTGACAACATTGAAAAGTAACTTTTGGGGTGTGAGTGAAAAACGGACCAAATTTTTTTATTTTATAATTAATAAAATATGATTAATTAATATTTTTTATTAGATAAATATTCTTATTCCTACTTTTCATGTTTTATAAGGGTTGATTTCGGAATAAGAAGAAAAGAGACAAAAATAACAAAAATGTGATATTACAATATCAATAAAGTCCAAATTGGAAAAGATATTATTTAAAATTGGAAAGCACATCAAGTCAAAGATATCAAGCTAGATTGGAAAGCAGCAAGAGTTTGGGAAGATTTTATTTTATTTTATTTTCACTTATGTAATTAGAATTTTCTCCTCCCATTCCATTCTAAACTCTATAAATAGGGACATATGTAGAGGAGGTTAAATGTACATTTTTAGTGCGATAAAATAATAAAAGTTAGAGAATTTTTGTCTTCAATTTATTTCTTATAATTTTTGTTATGAAGATTATTTTTATTTCTTTATTTTGTTTTCTTATTATGTTAGCTTAAACAACCTTTCTCAAGGGAGTGATGAAGCCACCATGGCTGAAATATAATTAAATTTAGTTTAATTCTTTTATGAAATTTTCTTTTGAGAGCATTACTTTACTCTTCTATTCTGTGTTCTTATTTTGATAAAAAAAATTAAGAAGAGGATTATTTGTGTTTGTCAATTAATGGTAATTCGGAGAACGTTATTAGTTTCTTTCATCTTTCAAAGTTGTAATTGGACTGGTGAAATTATTTGCTTACAATAGGAAAATTTACATAAAAATAAATATACAAATTTATTTATAGTAAGCGGTGGCGGTGGATTTTTTCCTTGGTCTTATTATTTGATCAAAATTTATTTTTGTCTTATTTATTTATTTTATTTTTAGTTGATTAATAAAAAATCATTAAATTGTTTTTAAAGTGTTCTTCCTTCAATTTTGATTTTAATTTTGAGTTCAAATCTTGAATGTATGTTCGACCCTGCTTTTCACTATTTAATTTTTAATTTATTTAGTCTTTGCAGATATTTCTATTATTTTTGTACAGTGTAGAAAAATAAAATAACGACAGAATCCATAATTAATAGTAATTTTTGAAAAGTGTTTTAATATGATATTTAATCAAATCTGAGGGAGTGTGAGTGAAATTTATTCAAAAATATTTGTTGCTATCTATTATCTAATATAGCTTACATATTGGAGACGTGACCACACAAATTCTAAACCAAGAGAGAGTAATACGTATATTAAACATCCTGAGGCAATCTCTCCCGGGCTCTTTCCCCTCTGCCGCCCTCTGCGGCTTTACTCTCTTTCTAGTCCAACGACTGAGTACTCACTAAACGTCTTAACACTAAACCCCACTAAACCGTAGCAAATACAAATAATTAATATATAACATATATATATATATAATGATAATATAGAAATATTAAAACATTAGAAATATTATATATATATATATAATTGGGTTCTGGAAGATTGAAAATCAAAATCCGGCCACTCCTCAAACCTGGGACGGGTTTTGATTTTAAATTCCATACCCGTCTCTACTCCATTTAGGGCTCTAACAAATCCGTCCCATTAAGAACGGTGTGGGGTGAAAGAGGAAATTGTCTCTCTCTAGGAAATGTGATCTCTATCGGATGCCCTCCTCATAAACCAATACACAATCAAAAAAATAAAAGCTAAAATAATATCTACAAAGATTAAAGAGCTTGAAATTACACTTGCGAGTGTTTAAATCTAACAAATTTAACATATAAAAAATGCCCCAAAAAGTGCTGATTTTTAAGATACTATTAATGACTGGAAAACCAAACTGCAATTATTTATTTTTTTTAAAATGTAAACCATCTTTAGGTTTTGATTAACACTCACTAAAATCATGAAAGATCTTGAAGAACTCTGTTTTGTCAGATATATCAAGAACTCAAAAATTAATAATAATAATACTAGTAAAAATTTTAAAAAAAAATTGACATGACCAAAGATTCTTTCAACTCAGAGAGAGAGAGAGAGACTACAACCACCATATCTAGTGTTTAAGCTCATGGGGCTTAAGCTTACGAGATTCATAGGAAATTGGTCGTTCCTCCTGCATCAAAACACATCCAAGACCTTGCGAAGAAGCATCTGTATAGACAAAATACTCTATCCCGCTCTGTGAGGTAGACAAAATCGGACATTAGAGACATAAGCTTAAGCATCTTTTCCCGTTTATGGGCACAAGTAATAGAGCCCCTCTCTCTTTTCAGCAACAATGCGTAGCATGAAAATGTGATGCATTATCTCATATTGATGATATATTAATGCAACTTATTTTCTACTACGATCCATTGACATCCATGATACTTTCTCTTGAGATCCGTTTGATAAATGATTCTGATATCCTCAATTAAACCAACCATAGTATTTGGGGCATTTAAATCGTTAAGAAAAACCATGTTTTTATTGAGATGGACGTGCTTGGTTGATTCATCTAGACGATAGTTTGATGATATCTTTTGAGTGACACATATTAGTACCATAATTTGCGTTTTAAATTTAGGTTCATACAAGAATCTAATAATGTGTCTTCTCACCAGACAAGAAATGTTTGTCAACCTTGTTCTCTGACTACATTGTCTCGTATTTTTTTTGACTAGCTGCTAAAAATTAATCCTGCTTGGGCATGGGCCTGGTGGACTTTGGCCTGGGCCGAACTGTTAAAACGATTCGGGTCAGGTCAGTTCAGAAGGGCCGCATTCATGTTATCTCCGACATATTTTTATTTAATTTTCATTGCATATCTAGTTATTTTCCTTCTTCTTTAATTTTTCTTATTTTCTCAGCTGATTTTATTAATAGTTTTAAGTTATAATGGTAAAGGATTAGAATGACCAAAAACTATTTGGCAAATGATCCCTAGATGTACCTACCACCGTTGTAAGGCTGCCTATGAGCCAAGTTGTGTACAAACAGGCTGGGCAAGGTTCAGCTTTATGTCACGAAGTGATTCCTAAGACGCTTGGAGGATGGAAGACACGCATGCTGGTTGGCAAAGAGCAGAGTTTGACTGGGAATGGTTCCAGGGAAGGGGCGTGCAGGAGCACAGGATGGTACCTCTTCAGAGTTCAGGCAGGTCGACTCGGTTCAGTTCGAGGTGCTTGTCGCTAGTCTTGGACTTGACTATGAAGAAGGGAGTTGGCCATCCCTGCACAAACTGGTCGGGAGCTGGAGCCGTTCCCCTGACGAGGCCATGGCAGGCCGAAACCAGTCAGCATGTATCCTTGGGAGGGCAGGTCGTGGTGGCTGACCAGGGCGCTTGCGCGAGCTGAAGCAACGCCTTGGTGCCGCACGGGCCGTGCCGCTGCGCCAAATCTCTAGGCCCGTGACATTTAGCTCGATTCTTTGCTCGAACTCACCAAACAAACCGGAGCTAATTTATAAGCTCATTTGATAAAAGATCCCAACCTAAACAATCCATGGCTCGGCTCGTGTTTGGAACAAGCTCGATACTTTGCTTGTGAACACGTGAACAATTGCTCGGGTTTTTGAATTTTTTCCCCCTCCTCAACAATCTTGAAGTCGAGCTAAAAACGGAATCAAAATTGATTAAATGAGCCAAGCATAAACTTAACAAGGAACGTTCAAGCCGAGCTCGATCCTCTTGTAGGGGCTAGACCCAAAATCCACAACTGAGCTCGAGCTCAACCAATCAAAAGCTCAGCTTGTTTGCAGCCCAAGTTATATGATCTATTACCATCAGCGCGCACACAAATGAACAAGAAAAGTCATAAAACAAAAGCTTACAGTTTGCCATATGAAGGAAAAGGACTAATTTGAGTAAACAATACATCATACATATAGAACAGTGTAAATTACAGAAGGCTGAAAAGTTTATCTACTAGATTATTCTGTATTTTCGCATGTGCTCTACACAAACTGAATGGACAAGCAAACCAATCTTGAGAAGGTACAACATAGGATTATCAGAATAGCTTGTGAGTAGTGATTTTTTGACCGAAAAAAAAGTACAGAGCACTAAGAAATCCCACCAGCGTGTGCCGGATTGAACTGAGATAATAAGATTATGAAACCGAAGACAATGTACACATGGCAACAAACAACAGAGAGCTTCCACGCAATGCAGAAAGTTCTATTAAGCGATTGAAGAATCCAAACCACACGAACGAGTATACCTCATTCGGCAGACAAATTACCATACTGCCATGGGTTAAACTCTGTTGATCTGACGTCATTCTCATCATTGCTCTCTGAGCTATCTACTGCAGCCCGATGTTCCGTGTATTTGCCATTGTACTGGTAGACTTCCAAGTCCCCCCAAGGTGTAGGTGTAACTTCATCAGTTGGATCAAACCATCTTGGTGTGAACTGGTGTCCCTCTGCCTCTCGATTTCGCTTTTCAGCTCTCTGTCTCTCCTCCAGACTGAAAAGGAAAAGAAAAAATAATAATAAAAAAAAGAGTGTAAAATTTCGCTATCCTAGATTAGTGAAACAAGCTATGCAAATCAATGCTATCAATTCTCACAGAATAACTATTTAGTAAAAAGTACATAATTCTCCGGTGATAAATTCTCATTCTTTAATTCCATTACTAATACAAAGTAAAACCCACAATATCAGTTATGGACCTCCATTCTCCATCCTAGATCAGTGAAACAAGCTATGCAAATCAATACTTTACCATCTCGTCAGAATAATTATTTAGTAAAAAAGGAAACAAAATCAATGCTTCATATGATGTCATGAGAAAATATCCAAAATTTGATACCAGTGCGATTTGAAGAACAAGATTCAAACCAGTTTGAACTATTTTTAGGATCCAAAAGAAAAGGTGATGCCATTTACCACTTCAGGAGGCTTCTTGTACGATATAGACCAAGCTTTCACGTCTCATTCAGCCATCTCATGTCTACTCAAATCAATGTCATATAAACAAACAAAAATCACCTCCAAAACCAGACACAATAGAAGCTACTCACCCCTCTACCGCACTGAAACTTAAAAGAATTCCCTTGGAGAGGCAAGGGAACCTACCAATTACAGTCCATCGAGTAACAACTTCTGCATGTACATGCGTTCAACTGTTTACACTTGTGCACAAATCGAGATTCCCAAGATGTTTGCATCTAGGATGTTCACAATCATACTTCAGCTTTCTTTTTTAGCAGTAGCACCCGGGTGTCTGATCCAATTTGCTCATAGTTGAGGGGAGCACCAGCCATACGATCATTTGGGTTCTAGAACATTCATTCGTAAGTGCCGCACAGGTTAGTTGAATAAATCAATCCCTACTATCGTCTTAGAACCAAAATGTGCAAGTGCTTGATAAGTTAACCCCATTAAAACCCACTTGATAACAAGCCCCAAACACCCAACAAATTACAGGATATATATGTAGCCGAATCAGTCTCAGCACTTGAGTAACAAATTCATTCCCATAGTTATTAAGGTTGCCACATACGCCCATTAAAATAATGGTTTTTGACTGAACTGACACCAAAAACAACATGGATCACCCAAACGCATTCCGTCTACTGCCTAGATGCTTGTAAAGTCATTGCATGGGTGTTTCTTGAGCGCAGTGCACCCAATGATACAAGTGGCTGTACAATTTGCAGCAACCAAAATTCCATATAGCCTCCATGCCCAACAAGCCAATAACCTAGCACAAAGCACACCAGAAAATCATGCACATTGGGTCACAGGCATCCCAACATATCCCCATCCCAATAATGTACCAACTATACCATGGTATCCCAAATAATCGGAAGTATGTCTCAATCTTGTGCTAAGAGAAACGTACAAAGCCACGAGGACCCATGACTCTCTTTGCCCCTGTGGGAAACCAAACCCCCATCAAAGGCCTCCAATTCCTGACACAACAGCTTGCAGAACGGACACCATTGATGGTGAATATCACCAACCAGGCTCCAACTTAAGTTATTTTTAAGCCTGTAATCCTTTGACACTCAAAAATATCAACCACTTTTACCTAGTAATAGAGGTCTTAGAAAATTACCCACCAGGAAAAAATGCAGGTCATAGAAAATTCAACTTAGCTTCAATTGACGCGACACAGTCATTTTGAATAAAAACCAGCTATCTCTAGAAACTTTTAAGCATTGGCAAATATTATTTGGACCACCCAATACAACATAAATCAATAATTATACAACTGCCCTTTTACTTCATCCCCACCGACCACCTAGACCATGTGCACAAACTTGAATAAACTTGTCCAACTAATTTATCAAAAGGCCATGCATAGGTCTGTGGTCCGGTTTTAAACAAATCTGCTCTACTTGTTTTTCCAATTCACTAATAGATAACCACACGAGATACTGCAATAATGGTTAGTCTGACAAGCTATTTAGATTTCTCCGTTAAATCTTTTTTGCAGATTCTAGAATCATCTGCGAACACCGCCTTCAAATCAATGCCAATGATTTGCTACTTGACCTACAGCTGTAACTCTATAAGGATCCATAAACTCCATAAGAGACTGTCAACCAACTGTATCTCAATAAACATAAATCTATGAGATATATATATCTATGTGCGTGTTTGTTTGTATAACATCAACATTATATGTAAAACATAAACGACTGATATATATATATATATATATATATATATATATATATATATGTATGTATGTATATACCCCAAGAAATCAATTCCAAGATAGCATGGAAATCAAACTTTACTGCAAAGCCAACACACTTCATGGAGACTCCTTTATGTCATAAGCTTCACTTCATGATATTCCAAATGTCATAAGCCTTTGAGATAACAATTTACCTCTGAATATCAACATTTCCAAGCTCTTCATCCACCACCAGATACATTTCCTTAAAATGTTAAGTCTTGCTGAAGGACATGGCTCAAAGTATCTGCATAATCACCCTTGGTTTCTGCAAGTTGCATTATCGCACTAAGATCAATAGCTATCCAAAAGTTGAATCATCTCATTTTTGGACTAAGATCAATAGCTATCTTAAGTACACACCATAACCACAAACAATGTAGCACAGCCCTCTTAATCACTGTTTGCATGACCTACAAATCATTCTCATAGAGTACTACTCCCTCTTTCCCAAAAAAATTGTCCATCTTTCCTTTTTGGGCTGTCCCAAAATAAATGTCCACTTTCTTTTTTCAAACAATATATTTTACATCTTTCCATATATGTCCTTGGAGTTTAAAATTTCAAATTTGAATATTCAAAATTTAAAGGGCAAGTTAGTAAATTCCTAGTGGGACAATACATGGCCCACATGTCCCCTTAAGAATTTCTACTCCCCAAAACGGACATTCTTTTTGGGACAGAGGGAGTATTAAAATTATGCATTTAAGAAAACCAAGTATTTGGCCAATATATCTCCACTGGCAATTGTGAGTTCATCCATAACTCACAACCACTTGTCCCATGAGTTTCTCTCCTTACATTACCTCTTCATTGAGTACTTTCAACTCAACTTTCTTCTATTAACACCCAAAGCACCCTTAAATTTAGGTACTACATCCAATTTGTTCTAATTGAGATATTACGGATGTGTAACTAGTCAATACTCAAAGCACCCTTCTATTGCATGCACGAGGCTACTATTTTGACATTAGTCAATACTCTCACAAAACCTAAAGCATCCGACCTGCGGCTTTTGAAAAGGCCCCCGCACCAAGCCTCTACCATACCATTATGACCACCAGCTTTCTTGTTTGAAGCCAGTGGAATATATATATATATATATATATCTCCTCAACTAACAGCCTGATCACCTTAGTGCGGCATCCAACTTGTCAAAATTGCATTCGCATCAACTCATCTCATTTGGTGCTCAAGTGCTCCACTACTTCAAATCGCAATATAGACTTCGGGTCCCATATTTATTCTCAAGTTTTGACCGACTATGGCTGCAAACATCTCGAGAAGCAATTCAAAACACCCCACCAAAATTTTTCTAAATGGTAGCGGCCAGCAACTTAATTCCCAAGAGTCTTAGAGCTAGCTGAGACCGAGCAAAGCCCATCTCCACTTGAATTGTCAATTTGTACATTGACACGCATCCAAAGATGCTGTAATATACATGATACATTCATGATGCCCATTCCTGCAACTCAACACAATGACCTAGATCTGAATCTCGTTTTATGTCAGTTCCATCCTCAAAGCCAAAAGTGATGAATAGTACCTTGCAGTACATCTCCTTTCTCTCTCTCTCCTTTTTCTTTTTTTGGGCAAAGACGATGACCTAAAAAAGCTTAAAAACCTAGTTAAATCCAACCAAAAATAATAATAATCTTCCCAAGAGACAGGTTAGCCAACAAAAACAACAGAAATTAAGTCTTGAACTCCAAACATCTTGTTTAATTAAGGAATAGCTTCCTTCAATCAAGCTATGCACATTTGAACCACCATATTCTAGAACTTGTAGGAATGCCAATGGTATCCATCCATTCACCCACAAACATCTGAAAAGGCCAAGGAGTATGCCTGCCTTGACCAAGAAATAGTGACCACTGCACAACTTGAGGGCCTTCCTCAAGCTTATTCCCAAGAGTTAAGCAACTATATTATCTTAAGGAGAAGCCAGATATGCAACGGTGTAAACCAGAAATGCTAATGGCCAAGCTTATTTAATAGTAGAAAGCAAGTTCAAACCAACACTGGGATACAAGATCAGCTGGTAATACTCTAAGAATGTGTGATCAGCTATTTCTGAAAGCAATGATAACCAGTGAACTGTCATGAACTTATCATAATGGTACATGACTAATAAACATTGTCATTCAAAGACTCAGTCAGCCCTTAAACTGGACTATCCAAACAGCATCAACCATAACTTGTGAATTTCAAAGAAGCATACTAGATGATGATTGTACCATAGGATGCAGGTGCCATATATGAAGCAATACACTATTAACAGAGCAATCATTGGGCACAAAAGAGACTACATCTTATCCCTCAACTTAATTTTAAGCCTAGGCACTGGCCAGCAATTCATGATATAAAATTTGTGGACTCATGTGCGAAAGAGAGAATTAGAAATAGAGAGAAACCTGCTCTTCTGAGCTCCAGCCATAGATAGATCACCTTTCTCAAGCGCATATCTATCAGGGCGCAAACGAGAATCTGACGCTAACAACTTCCTAGGAGCAGTGTCAAAGCTGTTTATCTTATGTGCAAAATGTGTGTACTGGAATTTGTCCTTTTCTGGAGTAGCAGCAACTCGCCAAACCTGCAGAAAGTTCATGAACAACTTGTTTGTATATCAGCTCAAAGAGCAGCAAAGCCTGAAACAACAGCTATTTGGGTAACACAAAGGATGCATCAATCAGTCATTATCTGAAGTGTTTTCTCTACATTGCAACTTATGACATTAATGCATGCAATCAGTCGTTATCTGAACAGCTACTTATTTGTATATCAGCTCAAAGTGCAGCATAGCCCGAAAGAACAGCTACTTAGGTAATACAAAGGATTCTTAAATCAGTCATCATCTGAAGTGTTTGTTTTCCTCCACATTGCAACTTATGAAGCATTTAAATACACGAACATTAACTACTTCACATGACTCAAAAGTAGAGGTAACATCCTTTATGAAAAAGTAAACAAAATAATCATGCCATTCCAGAATTTAATTATTCAGTATGTAACATCATTCAATTGGCTTAGACCAAGGTATCCATTCATTAACTAAATGTTTATTACCTGGTATGGTCCCCATTAATCGAGAGGGCTGTCTCAGGGAGAGAGAATCTTTCACATTATTTGCACAAAATAGCTATTATCAGGTTCGAACTCGCATTTTAATGCTTGGTAACCCAAGCATTTTTACCAGTGCACCAATCAATGGCCCCTAAGAAATCTATAGCAAATATAAATCATTAACTAAATGTTTATTAGTTCTCTCTCCCTGATACAGCCCTCTCAATTACTCATACAAGGTATCCATTCATTAAATAAATGTTTATTACCTAGTGTGGTCCCCATTAATCGAGAGGGCTGTCTCAGGGAGAGAGAAACTTTCACATTATTTGCACAAAATAGCTATTATCAGGTTCAAACTCGCATTTTAATGCTTGATAGCCCAAGCATTTTTACCAGTGCACCAAGCAATGGTCCCTAAGAAATCTATAGCAAATATAAATCCACACATTAACTACTTTACATAATTCACAGGTAATATCTCATATGAAACCAACAAATTGTCGAGCTTTCTACAAGTTCATTTCAGCAAGACTTCTATGCACATTATAAAATATACCATCACAAAATCAATAAATGCAACGTGTGTATGCATGCGCACCTGAAGAGAGAGAGAGAGGGAGGGGGAACCTAGAGGGACTTTGACATTAGTATTCTTGGATAACATGCATCTTACACTCAGCTAATCACAATTTAACCCTATGTTCCATGTCAACAGAACCCACGGTATTAAAAGGCATTTAACAGGACACTGAATGTGTGCATTGCCAAGTTAGATTTATACACTAACATGATGAACAGTAAATAATCCCAGCCCCGGTGCAGGACATAAATCAAAAACCAGAAAGGAATGGAAGCAGTGTTATGTAATACAGTGATGAACAGCAACTAAACCATAACAAGTGTATTATCACAAGCAGAGAACATAAAATAGAAAGTAATGAAATAACCTCTTTCAGTTCTGTTCCTGGAAAGGGTTCCCCTTCCATGTCACATGGTTGATAACTCATTGACCCATTCCATTTGCCAGTCATCAATATTTTAGGTTCCTCAGCAGCATTATAAACGTAACCATCCACTTCATATCGACCAGCTCTGCAATCAACCAAACCTAATTAAACACTAGTACAGTGGCTAGTGGACTGCACATATGTATAAATACCTGCAGTATACCGCAGGGGTGTGTGTGATGTATGAGAGAGAGAGAGAGAGAGAGAGAGGGGGGGGGGGGGGGGGATCCGAATGAAGGAAGAAACAGAGAGAGTGATTTTTATCAGTGCTGGAATAAGTTCATTAACTACAGGAACACTGAACTCGCGACAAACACAGCATACCTAAGTCTAACTTGTACAAAATCACGAGGAAAACAGTAAAAACTAAACATGACAATAGAAAACATGGACAGGAAATATCCACAGTAAATTTCAAATATATCAAAGCCAAACATTTGACTGAAAATCATCCATTAATACCCTAAGCAAAATTCCACATGTAAAGTTACCAGCGATCAAACAAGAAAACAACCAGAGAACTCACATTTGAGAAAGCAAAGAGAACAGTATTGAAATAGAAATATCAACGTACCCAAACCAACCGCATGGTTGGAAGTATAGCACAACTTTGTCCCCAGTAGTCAAATTTGTCATGACCATCTCCCCTGGTGAATCCACCCAAGTTCGTCCAAATATCAAATTGTTAACCTTGGTGGGAGGTGGCACCAAATCCAGGACTACACCCTCTCTCTTAAGAGTTACACGTGTTCTGCATAGGGTAAGAAGCTACACAAAAATAAATGTCTTTCACAAGATTTATTGGGACAAATAAACATGATACAAAACCTGATGATAGATGAACTAAATAAATCATAATATAAAATATTGACAGAAGCTTGAAAATCAGACGAGGAAGTACCATTCTGGAAATAGCACAATAGTTTGCAAAAATAATATGACAAATAAATCCACAAATAAAAACTTGTCTCTCTCCCTTTCAGAAGGCATGGTTAGAGTGGACTCTAATGTAGAACTTCCCAACAATGCTAAACCACAAGCATCAAAATGATCCTTCTTCTTTTTTCTTTTCTTTTTTGTTTTCAATTTTTTTATGGGAATCGTTTACCAAAATGCTCCTTTATATGAGTTACAAGGAGCTAAGAACAGAAGAGAACAGAACCAACAGACATAAAGATTGAATGCAGTGAAACCAAGAATTTGAACCATGCAAACCCCAGTAAACTCCATAGACATATAAGAGATGATGGTAATAATTAACAAGAAACAAAGATACAAAACTAACCTTCCAACAGGGTAGACATCCACTGAATTTCCTAAAAATTTGGTTTTCAATTTTGATGTAACATCATAAGTGAAGTGCTCATTTTCAGCATGCCCAGCACTCGTTGGAGGATGATGACTCACCTGTAATGAATAATAATGTGAGGCTTTCACTTTAGTGAACAAGAATCATGCAAAAACATTAATTTATAAAGGAATATTCAAATATTTATCTTTGAAGACTTTCAGAAGATTTATGGGTGGGGCCTCCTCTTTCATTCTTTAGATAATCTTAGATCCTAAGTTTAGTGTATTCTTGCTTGTGTCACCTCACATCACAGGCTGCGCTTCTTTCTCTTTTTGTCTAATGTAAAATTTATTCATCAGCAAGGGGAAGAGATAAAGCAGACCATAGAGGAGAAAGTGAAGACCCATACTTACCTGCTCAGAAATGAATGTAATCCCACCATGATTCACCATTTCATAAGTCTCACCAAGAATAGGGTTGAAGGGCTTCCAGGTGCGTTGGTAGGCATAGTAGACAGATATTGCCCACGATGCTGCAATATGATACCAAAAGTTCGGATCAAATTAGATGGTATTCGCATATTTCACATGCGCAAAATTCAACGCAGACTATACTCACAAGCATAAACCAACCGCATGTAGGGATCCTCACATTCATCTGCCTGATCTAAGAGGTGGGAGTACTCCATTAACTGTCACAAAGTTTGCACAATTTGCATTATAACAAGCTTATAAACAATGCATATAATAAAATGAGCATTAACAATACACAAATAGAAGACATAAACCTCTGCCATTTTTTGAAGCATTGTCATTGGCTCAAATATAAGGACTGGAAGTGTCACCATTGACGTCACATCCGAGCCTATATACTTCTGCATCATCTTAAAGTAACTGTCTCGATCCTTCAAAAAATCAATAAACTCAGTATGAATCATAAGTACAGAACGCTTTTCAAAGAGAAATATAACAGGTGATAAAGAAGGGTAATTATGGTGGAAGGGTAACTATTGTGAACTGCGCAGCAACTGGCAAGAGAAAAACTCAATTGAGAAAGCAACAATTTGATGTGTATGACTTCCAATAGCAATCTAAAATAGTGAAGCCCCAAAAAATTAGATTGTGATCAGCTTGTTGTTTTCTGCTCTCATCACAAACATGACTGCATCCTGTGTACTTTCAAAATAGGCCATTACTAAATGCTGATCCCACCTAGGTGGGTGAAAGTCAGCAATTTGGTTCAATAATTATACAACTAATATTATCAAGGGTAAATTACACTTACCTCCCCTCTACATAGGGAAAATTACACAGAACTCCCCTAGGTTTTAAAAAATTACACTTACCTCCCTTGTCAGTAAGGAAGTTAGTTACCGTTAACAGAGCACATGGTATTACTATTTTGTCCTTGTTACTTTTATTGAGTTTTAACCATAAAAGTATCTTTTTGTCTCTAATGTCGTAAAAGCCCCTAGCCTTGATGATGACCCCTGCTTTATCTCCTACCTTCTTCTTTGATGAACCTGTAATGCTTCAGTCGATGTCGATGCTAGATTGATCGACTCGCTGCCAAGTTCGGAAATCATTACAATCTCACTCTATCACATATGACATATCTACACTCTATTGTTGGATCACGAATAAAAAAATATCCTCCCCATCAGGTACGCTCTGAATTGAATTAGATCTCATTTGCTTCCCTCTGATCTCTCAATTTATGGTGTTTCCAATTCCTCGATCTTATTCATTTAGGATTTTTTAGGAAATTTTACACATTTGAAACTAAAATGAACTTGAATTACAGAAAATGCAGAGTTAATCAGTGTCCCTAAACAACTACAACTTTGATTTCGGACTAAATACAAACCATTCTCAATCTCTCAACAATCGGAAAGACCAAACCTTTTCGTCTTCTTCATTTCCATCCACGCAACCAAAACCTAATACCCTCTAAACGGTACAGGATATGTGTGTGACACATATACCCAACTTTATAACTCTAATCCTCTACATGTGATTATAGAAGAAGAATTACAGCTTAAATTTCATTGTAAAGAAGGATTTCCCACTTTTAAAGACACATGGAATTCCTTTGTTTAACCTCATCCCATTGAATTTCCATTACATTTAAATTATATATTAAGTACATTTTTAAGAACAAAATTATCATATGTTATACATCATATCCACATACTTGTACTCACCTTTTGGATATGCTTCAGAACAAGTCAGCAAGTCCTAAATTATTCCACTAAACACTGACTCTGTATCGAACTATTAGCTAGTCATTCACAATACAACAAATAATTATGTTAGGACTCAACTCAACTAAACAAAGCCCTTTCCCAACTACTGGCGGCTAAAATTAATTTGTAAGGACATGCAGGGGATAATTTGTCTGAGAGAAATCTGATGTATTGAAGCAACAAGCAAATCTATTGGGGGTGGGGGGGGGGGGGGGGGGGGGGGGGGGTGGTGAAATCAGCTCCTTATTCAACAAAAGCACTGGCTTACTTCAGCATGTGGTACATAACTTCTTCTGTTCTCACTTTATTATATATATATAGGTAGATATATATATAAGTTTCTTGGCTTACAAACAATTTCATACAAACCCACCTCCTGCTTCCATCTTCCTCTTTGAGCTTCCTCCTCTGCGTCTTCTTTGCCTCCCTCTGGATTTATAACTTCCACCCCTTCGTAGCCTAGAAATCTGGAGGAGAGGGGGAGCAAACAAACAGTAAAAAAGGCATTCATAACACATCAGACCATTGAAATGCCATTAGTTTCTTAACAATGTCTAATAAAGAACATAATGAAGACCTTAAATCATCATAACTTTCCAATCCAAATAGATTGCCTTAAATCAAAAATAATTCAGCCAACAACAAACAGCAATGAGTATATACTAATCAAATATTACAAAATTGAGATTAAAACTTCCATCCATCAGCTCGTCAGAAAAAGGAAAAAAAAAAGAAAGAAAGAAGAAGAAAAAAAGCATATGATCCCTAAATTATTGATCTATTATATGAATCTAACCAGGAGTTCGGAGATTTGACCATTGGTAAAGTAAATTGGATAGTACTGGTGCACATTAGATATTTACATACGACAAAAATTGGAACAAACCCTGCAATTAGAAAGATACAGAGCAATTATCTATGGTCCCTAAATCTCTTTCTATTGGAGCCAACATATATACGAGTGTATGTCTAAATAAGATGCTTTCTTGGAGGTCTTCCTTTTATTATTTTTAGAACAATCCGGAACTAATACCAAAAGCAGAAAACTTCAGGCCCAATAATTTGAGGCGGGCGCTCAGCGGGAGATTCATTAACACTGGAATTAGACAAAGACACAGAGGGAGGAATAAGAATGAGAAGAGAAGACAAGCAGTCGACCATTGAGCTCATGCATTTTCTCCTACTATTGTACAATCGGGTGTCAGATTGAGGCCAACCTTCAATGAACCAAATTCCTCATGGGAAAACCGGTAGCGGATGAAGGGCCTGCTGTGAACCTTGATCATCACCAGTCAACAAGCAATGACACCTACTTTATTCTCTATGCAGATCAAACTCGAGTGATCAATGAATAAATATACATCATTCTAAACCATGTACGAGTCAGAAACTGATACAGAGAATAGAAGGTCCAAACTAGTGTAGAAAGATGCATCAAGCTACTTGGCATTGACCATCTCAGAAAACTAGCATAAATCAAGACAACAAGTACAGATCTGCAAGGCCTTTTTCAATTTTTTTATTCTTTAAAAATAAACCTACTAAGTAGAGTTGTCTAGCCAGAAGTACATATAAAATAGAGGTACAAATTTAAAGATATCACAAAAATGAAAATCAAGAAAGATAATGAATGTTCTTATTGTACAAGATAGCTTAGACAGGCCAGTGAAGGTGCAAGTAGTATTCATAATACATACAATAAAGATATCTAAATTGAACTATACTTTGAACATCTAGGGAAATGATAGAAACGTTGACTACAAGTGTTTTGTCATTTATCTAACAGCAGATTGCAAGTGTTTGTCATTAAGGCAACTCTGGCATGGTGAACCCTAGGACCAAATGCTCAGCAGAAGAAAACAGCTTGGCCAGATATGGCAAACAAATTATTTTTAACACACCAAAACATTTTAGCACCACAAAATCTTCAGAACTAGGGAAAGCTCTTGTTTTTTTAGCTTCAATTGTAATCCAATTGATCAATCAACTTCGTACAACTCAGATCGAGACAGTCTTTAATCTTTATCTTTAAACTAATACACACAAATTGCTAAGCTTTAGTATTATAATTAAAAGTGAATAACCGTTCAAACCCTAATTAACAAACTGGTCTTAAAAAAAAAGTCAAATTTAGCACCATCTTCTCAAAGTTACTTTTATCAACATAAATTAAATACTTCAGTGTCTTGACTGCTAAAGATAAATATAAAATGAAACGTAAAAGTGAACGAATCATGATAATTAATGCATGTGTATACAAATACATGCAGATATACACAAAAAGACACATACCCGTTGACAGATCTCTGCATGGCGTTCCCGAACATTGAAATTCCCGAAGTCATCGCCGAAAAGAAACCCTTGCTTTCGTTTTTCTTAGGACTACCCATCTCTTTTGAACCCTAATTGGAATCAATTATCTCAGAGATCAAACCGATTCGACAAATTTGCAGAAATTAGACGAATCTGCCTCCACTCCGAGAGAGAACTTAGAACTCAATTGGCCGATCTATACGTCAACTTATGTATTATTATAAACCCTAGAGAGAGAAAATGGTAGATGATGATTGAATCGAACGACAATTTTTGGGATTTTGTGTAACAGCGAGGACTAGAGGTGGAATTCGTTGGCGCTTCTGCTTTGTTTTCAAGTCTATCAAGTTGATGGTAATTCCGATCATCTTCTTTCGGTTCAATATTTTCTACTTTTAAAAGAGAAAGCAAGGGCATGTTTGTAATATCATCCTTTTATTTTATTTTTTACAACAAATAAACAAATAAATAATAATCATAATTGGTGGACACATAAATACATCTATTTTAGGAAAAATTATTAAATTGTCATGGGATCATTGGTCCCCGACTAATCAAATGGTGACACATAATTACTTGTTTGACATCCCTCTGGACCCTATAATAATTTTTTCTATTTTGATAAGTCAAATTAATATGTGTCAATAATTATTGAGTGATATCATTTCATCACAACATCAAGAATAAAATTAAAAGTCAAATTAAATAAATAAAGAATCAAATCTAAAATGAAAAGAAAAAATTTAAAATGAGAATATCAATGACAAATTATATACACGCGAATGAAGTGTGGATGGGCCTTTTTTTTTTTATTTTTTTAATTTTTTTCTCCAAATTTACCATTAATGACAATAAAAACTACAAGATCATCAAAGAGACCACCTCTCTTTAGCAGTATATAATTCACATCAATCTTTTTTTTTTTTCCTCAGTTCATATTCTAAAGTTTACATCATAAAATATTTGTAATGTTACGTTATTCGAGTGGTTGCATTCCATATTTAAAAATTCGTATTCAAACCTTACACACACTCCCCTTTTTTTTAACCATTAACTACTATTCTACTAATCTTTAATATTCTTATTTCAAAAAAAAAAAAAAAAAAAAAGTTTTGAGCGTTTAGATGGTTTTGTAGCAAAAATAATTAATTAATTATTTTTATTTATTTATTTTCGGAAAGGTCTTGTGGCAAAAATCATTGCTTGAAGCTTTATCTATGTCCAAAAGTAAACCCCACAAACATCTCATTGGCCATAACAAACCATGTGTAGATACCACAAACGTGACCGCCTCATCACCACGTGACATATATTTAATTATTAGTAATTCATTCACTTTGATTGATTATCTTTATTACAAATGTATTTTTTTCTGTTTGTTTATTTATGAATGTATTCATGAGAACCTCGCCATTGAACTTACCCGAACGGTTAGGTTTTATGATTATTAGATTTTTTATAATTCAATTTAATATATATATAATTAAAAATATATATCATATATATATTTGTATATAATTTAATTCATATTATAATATAATTTTTTATTATATATTATGGTATAGTTGAGTTATTAAAAGATTAATTTTATTTTTCTATTGTCTATAAAATATAAAATATATATTCGTATATAATTTATAAGATGACTTAATTTAGTTTGATCTAATTGATTCTCATTTAATTGATTCTGACGTCACACAAATATGATCAAGGCATATATATCATATACGTGAATATATTACATATTAAGAACGAAAAAATGCAAATATTGATGCATAATCGAATCGTTTATGAATCGTTTAAAAAATATTTTTGAAATCATAACCACACCAAATCATAAAAAAATGAAACCATACCTCGGTTTGATCTACATGGATTTTAATTGATTAAAGTTTGCACCTTAATATCCATTGTTTTAGAGTTGATTAGGTCCCACAATCCCGTTTACTCGTATTTCCCAACCGGGCCAACCTTCTTAACGTGGAATGCCGGTCAAATCACGTGCTGGCGTACAAACGGAATCATATGCAGCGGAACCCACAAATCACTTTATCTAATAGTACCAGTAGTATACATATCCTATACATACTGTATATATACTGTACAGGTCTAATTGTTTCAGATCTACAACGAAACTTCGTGATATTATTCCAACAACAATCAGACAAATCTCATTTCTCAATCCATCGATTCGTTGAGCATAGTCTGCTTGGCATTCTCTCTGTACTTTATCGCCTACAGTATAAATTTGTTTTCGTTTTTCGAAATTCGTGGCGGTTGATTTGTGAAAATTTGAGAATTATCGGTATGAAAGAGAAGAAATCGGTGAAATTCGATCTTCAACAACAACACGACCACCATTATCAGAACGGTCACTTGTCTCCGTTCAAGTTCACGAAATTGCTCGATCCAGAGGCTTCTTGGGATAAGGTTTGAACTCTCAACATTCACTGTTGTTGTTGTTGAATTGTTCGTTTTCGAATTTAGGTTTATATCCATTCAATCTGTAATTAGTGTGGTGGATGGAAGTCGCGAGATCTTATTTTTCCTCTGTATCTCTCTCACTCACACAAACAAGCGCATACACACGTTTGCTGTGCACTTGAATTTATGATTCTTTTTTACATCAGTTCTAGCCTCAATTTCATTCATAAACTTTTGCTTTTCATTATGGTATTTAAGTTGCTATGCACTTTCAATGACGATGCTGAAAATTTGTGATGCACATTTAGATCTAATTTTTTTGTACGTGTGTGTATGTTACTTTATTTTGCATTTCTAGATCTGCTGTAGTTCAAAGCGTAAATACATAGCCTTAAAGTGTAATTATTTGTGCTCATGAACAAATGATGTGCTCTTGACTTGATGTTTGCCTGAAATGATTCCTCTGTCATTTTCTCTGTGGGTTAAGGCTAATATTATGTAGTAATTGGTTAATGTTGCAAATAATCAAACACACAGACTGTTGGAAACAAGATAGGATTATTTGCCATCTTATTTTGCTTCTTTGTGCTTGGTGTTTGGTTCGAGGAATAAGGATAAGGGGATTACACTTCGAGATGGCAATTGGGTTGTGGATTAAAGAGGCGCAATGGTAACAAATTTCACATATCTATGCAAAAATGATACTGCAACTAATTTCTCACAGTAGGAATTCAACGTGAAGAAACTAGTTGTTGGTTGCTTAGTTTCTACCTTGCATGATATGTATGTGTATGGTCTATAACCATGAAACTGCTCATGAGTCATGCCGAACCACTAATATGAAATCTTCCATGAAGGAAGGAGTTATGAGATGTGCTTCAATAGAAATGGGAGTTTTTTTTTCTTTTTTTTTTTTTAATTTTGACTTGTCTTCCACAAGGGAAACCAACAGTGGCCTTTCTTTAGTGGAAGATAGTCAGATACTACTCCGTGTCATATCCATCTAATGATAATCGATTATCAGTTGGCATAGTACTCACTTCACTTGTTATAATTTTAGTGGCCCTTAGTAGATAATTGGAAAGAGGCACTAGCAACATGCATCTTGTTTACCTCATTGTATCTCTTCTTTTATGCAGTTGATTATTTCCTACTATCTCTGACCATACAACTTGGTTCGCTTCCGTGCATCAAGGATGCAGTTTCAGTTCCAAATTTTGGAACCGTTAGAATTGGTTCAGTTCACAATTTAGACATAAAATAACTATACCAATGCAAATGGTACCGTAATACTTGTACACATGTATCTTTTTTTGAATTAATTAGTTAATAACTTTCCTACATATTAATCAAGGTTATATATATATTTCCCTCTTTCTAACATTGATTATCATTCACATACATAGATTAATAAAATAGGTAGTTTGCATATTTATTACAATTGTTATTTGTAGGTTTTAGAAACTATAAATGTTCTATTGACTAGGAACTAGAAGAAAATTTTATCCAGGTTTTAAGTAAAGTTTAATTTAATATAATTATCATTATTAAATTATTTAATTAAGCCCAATCCGTGAAACCAAACAGATCCAAACTGATTTTGGACGGTTCGGATTGATTTAATTTATGCGGTTCCTCCAGTTCAATTTGGTTCCAAATTCCAATTTTGTTGGAATGACTATGATTGGTTTTGTTCTAATTCACATTCTAAATTGAACAAAATTGAACTGTGCGCACTCCTAGAAAAAACAGATAAACATGTACCAAGGGACCAAAATATCTTTAGTGCACTTGGGAGGGCTGGGATCAACCCAACAACAGGTGGGGCCCACTGATGGGTTGATCTCAGCCTCCCCTGCTGAACTCCAGAATATAGTGATTTTGATTCACGTACTAAGGGGCCTAAATGTCTTACTTCATTAAGTAGTATAAATCAACAAATGATGACTATTTATTAGGATTGCCTTATTGACTTTTTGCTTATTGCACTCAACAATGTATTTTCGGTCATGGATTTATCACTTATTATTATGATTAATCATATAATAACACCTATTAATAGGAGTAGTTAATTAGATTTGGTGGTAATAACACAAATGGGGATATTATGGAGGTTTTCTTTCACTTCTGTGTCCTTTTCTTTTTATAACTTCATAAATATATTGAAAGAGATGGTCATTCTCACCTGCTCTATATGCCATCTTCCCATTCTTCCTAACACTCAGTACACCCAACTCTTTGGTCTCTGATCAAATCAAGTGGACTTCCTCTATTGATGGCCAATTCACAACGGCATCAATCACATTCTCCCTCTCTCCTACCCCACAATGTCTCAATTGGCCTCACCTCATTTGGAATAAAGCCTCAATTCCTACGCATAGGCTAATTTTGTGGATGGCTGCCCTATCTAGCCTTCCAACTCTTAATCGAAAGAGCCACTTAAATTCAGACACCCCCAACATTTGTTTTATCTGCTTTTCTCATCAACAATTCCATTCTCACCTCTTTTTCTCTTGCTCTTTCTCTGCTCCAATTTGACCTGTTATTCAGCTGAAATGTCGATCCATCTCTTTTCCTTCTTCATGGATCATGCTGATTGAATGAGAAAGCTTCCATTGGGAACCAAATAGACCCATGTTCAATGTTTGCAAAATGGCTCTTTTCTCCACAGTCTACCACATTTGGGGCGAACGCGTGCAAGATTATACTCAAACCACCCGATCATCACAGAATACAGTGCTTGGGGAAGATCTTGGCATCCATATCTTCGAAATTCTTTACTGGGGTGTTCAGAGAACGTGCAGAGTCACAATCTATCCTTGACGAATGGGGTGTCTGGGCCTTCGCCCACCCTTACGGCCTCCTGATCCATGTGCAAGGGCTCTCGCCTGAAGCTGCAGAGAGCTCCAACCGCTTATCGGAAGGTTGAATGGCATTCTCTAACAGTCACATAGGCAACTGTTAGTTTAGGTTATTTGATTTGGGCATGGGCTACTGGGCTCCTCCTTTTTTTAAGTCTAATATTGGCTTGAACAGGCCTTTTATGCCTCTGTATGACTTGTAATGCGTCTTGATTGAATGGGCCTAACCCTTGCAGGCCCAAACCTATGTACATATAACTTATCAATACATTTGCTTGATTTTTCGGAGAACAAAGATAGAGAGAGAGAGAGAGAGAGAGAGAGGTGGTTGTTCACCATGGATTAAAGTTCTTTTGACATATAAAATCGGTTATTAAATTTTTTTTATGACGGTCAAAATAGGTCATGTATGTCCTTAAGTGCTTAATATATATGATGTACAACTAATGTTGAAAATTTTGATTGTATTTAGAAGAAATTGAAATGTGCCATGGAGGGTTGGCTGTGACAGGTTGCTTGCATGATTATTTAATGTATTGATTGTTATGCTTTGCAGGACCAATTGGGAGATGTATTGCATTGGATTCGACAAGTGGTGGCCCTTGTATGTGGGATGCTATGGGGTGCCATTCCTTTGGTTGGGGGCGTCTGGATTGTCGTGTAAGTTAATGCTTGTATGAGTTATTTGGTTATAGTATTTAAAGGAAATTGTTATTTCTTTTTCAGTTATTTGCTTCATAAAGTCATACAATCGATTTCATTGGTACCATCCAACCGAATCCAATTCAATTGTTTAATGATAGTTGGCTCATGGTTGGTGTGTATGTTGCCGTGGGAATGTGCTCATGTAATGGTTAATGCGCTTCATGGTGGCTATAACATTCCCTAAAACATCTGACCGAGTGACATGAATTAATGTTTGTATTGTTTTATTTTTGTCTTTCAATAGAAGAATTCTTCAAGATGTCTTTGAATTTCTTTGAGATCTTTTTTGATAAGTAGATTGTTCTTTTTTCTTTTTAATTTTTAAGGAGGTTCAGGTTGGTTGATTCTTTGACTCTTTTCACATTCACCTCCCTTGTGTAATTTTTTTGGAGGAAATAAAGTTGGCAGGTTTAGGGAGCAAATATGTACTGACATCTTCACTTTAAGAATAACCTTTCCTTTTTTGTTAAGTAATTTTTGTAAAACCACAGACACATAAAACAGCTACAACCGCTTGCTTTCTCCACTATAAGAAAGAATATCTCCAGGGGTGTTTGATTGGGATTATCTTGTGCTACTTCCATGCTTCTTGGAATCTGTTTAGAAATTTTTTGGCTATTCTGTGCATTAAGTGGTTGATGCTTCATAATTTCCTCCAGTTGAGCGTTACAAATATCCTAAAAGTTAAAATATTGTTGTGGGTAAGAAACATAGGTATTCTCTTTCAATGTCTGTTAGGTGGTTCAAGTGTTTTTGTAAATCTCACTTGCTTGAGAGGAAATATTTGTTAGATAATTGTAAACTATGTTGCACATGAATGATCATACCTATTATGCATCAGACATCTTATCTTAATATGTTAAACCTTTTCGCTGCACCATTTGGAAGCTTGCATTATCAACTTAAATGCTGATTTCGGTTTCAGGTTTCTGATGATATCCTCTGGGATAGTATATGGCTATTATGCAATGACACTAAAGATCGACGAAGAAGATTTTGGTGGTCATGGCGCTCTACTTCAAGAAGGGCTTTTTGCTTCTATTACGCTCTTTCTGGTACTAATTCTGATGTTCTCTCTCTTTAATACAAAATAGTAGATTAAAAAAGAGGCCTTCGTTGGTTAATAACTTTGCTTGCTTCTCCTTTTCTGTTGTCAGCTTGCGTGGATTGTAGTATACAGCTTGATGCACTTCTGATTGACTAGCTTCTCGATTTAGCTACCATCTCCCTCCGAATTTTGTTGAATTATCTAGCTCAGTTGTATGAGGATCGACTTTAGTCTGAGATTTGAGGAAATTTCATAGTTTCCTTGAACATTTTTTTTTTCCACAATCATAGAAAATGATTGTGCAACCACCTAATTTTGTAGTTCATGAACACACTAAGTTTTTATTTATGATAAATAGTTTTGATGACATTTATTCGATAATCATTTTTTATAATTAGAAATGAAATTGTTAAAGGAGCAAAAAATTGAAATCAATATATGGGTTATTGGTGTGTGTGTATATACACACGTATGCGTTGCTTTAGTTTAAGAATTTCATCTCTTAATTAAGCATGCATAGCGTGCACGTCCAAGACAACGTCTTTGTAGAAGTATACCATTTTTTGACATTTTATCTAACAAAATGGCCCACCATGATATTGGAGTGTTTATATCTGGAATTCTCTCCCTATACATCTTGGATATAATTTTGTATCCACAATTAGACGCGACGGGGACGTGCTTAGAACAGGAAGAATTCTCTCCGTACTGCCAACTTTGAGAACTAGGGTGTCATGCAGTCGCTCGACATTGATAAGACTTGTTAACAAGACGATACTATTTATTGCTTAGAGGACGGAATCGGTCGGGTTTGAATTCAATCATGGTACAAGATGTGTCTTTGTCTATTAAATTGTCGGGAGAAAAAACAAAAAAAAAAAAACAGAAAGAAAATCCTTTAGGATTATTAAAATTTGCCAAAATGAAAAAAAAAATATATATATATATATATATATATATATATGGAACGATAGATTCATGCTACTGTACACAAGACTTGGCAATCACACAAATCAAGTGGAGGGATGTCAGCCACCAATCTCAAATGCATCTTTGCCGTCTGCCTCTCCGTCGAATCAAGTAAATGCGGCCATAAACCCACTGTCTACCGAGGCTTGAAAGGGATTGCTGCACAAGTCATGACGCAAAATTTCAAACCTAGTTTGAATATTGCAATAAGATCCAAAAAAGGGAAATATGCTGAACCAAGAACTAAGCCGAATCTCCTAGTCTAATCTGTAATCAAACTAAGCATAAGGATAAATAGGAAAATGAGAACTGATTGACAACAAAACCAGAAGGTAAAAAACACACTGAACTGTGACACACTGGACCGTTAACCTCTCCTCCCTCAAAAGGGAGGTGAGGGGTTTGAGCCCCATAGTGGCCACTTGTGTGTGTGCGCGCGAGGAGAGAGAGCATTTACCTAAAAAAAAAAAAAAGAAAAAAACAGAACTGACATGCACAACTTCCAAGCCTATAATGGACATTTGGTATGATATGTAGTTACTATTAAATGTCCAAAAGAAAATTAATATACATATTTTGTTTAAATATTTTCACGAATAACATGTGTGAGAAGTCCATATATAATTAAGACTCCCATTTACACACCTCAATTTGATAATGAGCATTCCTTCAATCCTTTCAGATGGAAGTAGTCATGTTATGAGGAATAAGTTCACAATTTTTTGTCAAGTATGCAAGAATGCATGCCTAAATCCAACTATATAAGCATCAAGCTCAAACTCAACTTGTTTGAGCCGTGCAGCGGCGGGGGGAGGATGTGAAACATGCATTATCTAGCATAAACAAGATCAACTATAATTACCTCAACCTTAGTGCGGAATTCTAGAGAGCATTCACATACATGACAATCCGCTTTCTGGGGGGATTTATTAGACTGATCTGATCTCACAAATGCAAAGACCTGCAAACAAATAGATGGTGTGCAAGTTGTAAGGATTGGTACATTGAAAGTTGACTCATAAATATGATTCTCATCATGACAGAAAATCTAGGTAAAAAATTAAAAATTAAAAAAAAAAAGCTTCCAAAATTTTGAACGAATGAAAGCTTGTTTTATTAAAACTGACCTCCTCCCCACAATTTGGGCATGAGCCCTTTAATGCTACCAAGTCATTCCTCCATAGACCTCGTAGTGCTCCAACTGCAAGTAGTTCGCAAGGAAGGATGATATTGAAACAATAATGAGAGACTAAATATAATTTACTTATGCACACACAATATTATAAATCATATACCATAACACCTAGGCCCTTGAACAATATTTTACCTGGAAGTTCAATTAACTGCTTTACACATCATCAGCCACCCATGCTGTGTAACAGCATTTTAAGCAAGACGTAATATTGTTTTCAAATTTTAGAAATGGCATGTTCAATGTTTTCCTTAACAGTAACGATATTCTCCAAAAGTCTTCATGATTGTATCTGATTCCATACAACAGCTACAGCATTACGTAAAACTCTACACTAAAACAAACCCTCAAGTTGAAACTACTAACCCAAAAAAGAAAACTACAAAAAAAGGTCAAGAATAAAAATACAGATTTTTTAAACCGCTGATTATTGGTGAAATTGATATATTTTGTGGGGAAATATGCTCAGATTATGCATTAACTGACAAATAACTTTGAATTTTCATGGAAAATATAACAGAGTAACATAGACAATACACATAATCTGTCAAACAGGAATTGATTTTGATTAAGATGTTATATTCTTACCCCAATTTCAGGCATAACCTAGAAAACAAGCAAGATATATAATTTAAAATGTATAATTTTTCAATAAGTGACTACAAGTAATGCATCTAGCCAAGACTTGAGCAGTTGAGCCTACACTTCCCTTCTGGCAATGCATCCTTTTCTTTTAAAACATTATGTATTGAGGTAATGGATTTTTTTCAGCTTATTTTATAAAATGAAAAGGTTTAAACAGTAAAACCAACCAAACAAAGGAAAATACTATCAATTGACACTGTAGTTCATCAAAGAACTATGCAGTTAGAATTTGCAGTTTTTCTCAACTTAATGGATTGTATAAAAAGAAAACTGTGAAGTCATATTCAATCCATTTAGTTAACACATGTTGGGTGGTGCAAGGTTAAGAAAGCTTAAAGAAATATATCAGTGAGTATTTCAAAACTATTACCAGATGCTGATGCAATTGGATAGCCAATCACGGATCCCAATACAATGAAAAGAATGCCATTCAGCGTGGAAAGAAACTCTAATGCAGATGCTTGGCTGCTGTAGGAAAATCCTGAATTGAATGCATCTTGATAAGCTTGACCGATAGTGTAGACAATAGGTATAAGACAGACTGAACTGCCGAAACCAAGAATCAGGAGCCATATGCTTGCTAATGCGAAAACCTGTGAAGGATCTTCCTGCCCTACATCCACGTCATTCGATATTCAAGTGGAGAAAATTCCAACACTCCTACTTGTTTAAAGAAATTCACTCATATTGTATAGCAATTCAATTTTAGAGCTAATTGATCCACTGCATTCAGATTCAGTATCTCAAAAATTAGATAGGCCATGCCAAAGCATCAAACAGAATAGTGTTTTTAAGATTTTCATGCAGGAAAAAAATAATAATAATAACCAGAAAGTCGAGTAAGCAGAGAGTTTGCCAAAAGGAAATGGTAGCAGAGAACTATTCATTTTTCTGATTTTGGGCTATGTCCCATAAAAACACATGCATCATTTGTGAGGATTCCCTGTAAAAAATAGTCTAATATGAAAACCTTGAAGTTTGCAAGCTAATTTCAGGAATGAGTATAGCATAAAGTCAAACTCCAATGTTTCCGTACACAATGCAAGAAATGAATAAATTTACCTCAGCATCAGCATATGTTGACTGCCGCCTAAGACTGCAACGGGGATACTTGACAACATATTTTGAACCATAACACCTCAATTTCAACTGTTCCAAAAATACTTTCCTTATATGAGTTCAATGGATAAACACAATGTGTTAGCGTCTAGTGATTGCAGATGACAAAGTAGTGTGTAAATCTTACCTCTACTCTATCAAACATATCATCAACTATCAAAGGCTTCCCGCTGTAATATGAATCCCGTGCCTAAGACAGGAGCAAGCAATAGCACATGAGAGAGAGCCACACAAAGACATAGACTCAGAGAGAGTGGAGTTTTTTTCTTAATTCTTAATTTATATTGGGGGAAAAGATTAATAGTTATTATTCAGGTTAGTACTGCTTATTACAATCACAATTTAGTTTCTATACTGGGGAATTCATTAGAAATTATCTAAGATTAACTAGAACAGTCAAATCAATGAGAAGGATGTTATTTTGTAAATGAAAGAGATCATCGTAACTACAATACTACTAACATTGCACTCAGTGTAAATGCGAGGGTTATTGTAAATTCATAATCCCTTCATATATGAGTCCAACAGGTCATCGTTATCATTCCGGACAGGATTTATAGTATATCCTACAAGTGGTAAACTTTAGGGGTGAAGATGCTATAATAGTTTTCCTTCCAGGGACACTCTATGCAAAAACTATAATGTTCTGTTTGGAAGCATTGAATCCTCACCTTGGAATTGGAGAAATTTCAGTTTAAACCTGAACTAAATTTTCTCCAATTCCAAATCCAAGGAGCCGATTCGGAGCTCCCAAACAAGCATGGCATAATTGTAATCAAACCTAGTGTCAACTTTTTGTGGAGAAGCATATCATTAGCACGATGTGCTTTTGTTAGCTTTTTTTCTCAAAATTTCCTTTTTCCAGATTTAATTGATTGCTTGACGTTCAATATGCATATGTCATTTCTAGTGTAATGATAATCTATGGTTTACCAAGCAATACAAGGCATAAGTTCAGAGACTAATACAAATAACAATTACATAGAAAGAAAGGTATTATATATTAAAACGAAACATGAATTTCAAGCCCTTACTTTTGGGTCAGACAGAAAGTGAGATGTAGTGAAATTACTTGACGATAGAGGGCTTCGAGAGTTTCTTTGCTTGCGGACTCGATTGGGCCAACGAAGATGCATGACGGCCCCTGGGCGAGGGAGGACGACGGCGACGGTGGCTCGCGCTCGCGTCGAGTGGACACAACACCGCTCCTCGTGGAGAACCGAACCGAGAACGGAGTGCCGGTTCGGCTGCTTCTGCAGAGTTCAACGGCAGTTGAACCGATCACGTGACGAGGGACGGTGACGCTCGTGCCGGCCGACATGAGTGGCTGATCAGAAGCTGTTCTGGTGGTGAGAAGCTGAGTAAAACATGCGGTTGAAATGGATGTTTGACTCGGGAATATGTAATGGCCACAAATTTGGAAAGTGGGGACTTTTATAGTTATAGCAAATTATGACAAAAATACCCTCTCAGGCTCTCATTCATTTTGGCTGATTTTTGTTTCAGTTTTGTGGTTGATATTGGAATTTTAAATTTATAAGAAGAAAACAAAATTACGAAAAAATTATTAATATGCGTTTGCCGGGAGTCGAACCCGGGTCTATTGCTTGGAAGGCAATTATCCTAACCGTTGGACTACAAACGCAACTGTACAACTTCTCAAAATAAACCATCATATTGGATTGTTGGGAAACTCCCATCCAGTGCACATCAAATCAAGTTTCAGCGCTTATAAAACCGACAATATAACGCTCGTGCAATGCATTTATATCGAGAATACATCATTACAACATTGCTCCATTTTTCAATTATGCAAGGAGAGAATCGTTTGGGAACATTTCATAAAATTATAAGGACAAATAGTTTTACAATCGAGACCCTTTTGATACAAATACACGGATAATGTATCAAGTTGTATCAATAATGAGAATTCTCGGTCTCTCATTTGAAAAAAGAAGAAATACCACTCAACTTAAGCCCTTATGTTCCACTCTTGCAAGTTTTAGATTTCTTTGCATTTTGTATCAATAATGAGAACTCTCTACCACTTAGAAGCAGTAAGTCTTACCATTATGGTCCTCTCTTGCAATGTTTAGATTTCTTTCCATAAAAAATGAGCTTGTACTTCTGCTGGCTTAGAAATTAAAATTGAATTGAAAATAATAGCTTATGAGAGAACATGTAAAGGTTATATGGTTTTATTAAATTAATGAAACTATTGAAAGAATATTCTTCATGTGATAAAACTCGATCATTCATATGGAGATAAAGGTAAGAATAATGATAATAAGTGAGGGAATCCTCTTTAGATCCAATAGATAGAATCTCTATTTATTTTTTTATTTTTTTTATGATGGTGACAACGACATCTTAGAGCATTTTTTAATTTATCGCCGAGCACATGTAGTCTTTCTGTCTTACATGTAGGAACAATTATTGGATTTGAACTCCCAACTTTCAATATGCTCTTTGTCAGTAATAGATAAGATACACTCTCTTTACAGCGTTTTTATCGATATTTGTCATACCCGCCAATAATTGATACCTATACACCCACAAGTTAATTTTATTTTTTTTCCACTGTTTCATGCTTCTATTTGATGTGACAAGCGAAGAACACTTTAATAAAGTAATGCAGAATAGAGAGAAATCAAGCTGGTCCAATTACCATTTGAATTATAGTATCTAATTTATAAATCAGGAATTCTATTCTTATGGTATCTGCTCTTTCATGCTTGAGATTCAAATTTACTCATTGTCTTTGTGTGTCATTTGATTGCCAAAAGCAGTTGGGAAAAAATATAACTTTAATTCCATCATGGTTCGCATTATTTGTTACGGTTGTGGTATTGATCATGATCGCGGTATGGTCGTGGTATCAATCGCGATGGCGGTGTAACAGACCTGAACACAGTCAATATAAACTGACCAATATGAATCACGTATCGAACTTGAAAAAGAATCGCATATCGAACGATACGATGAACCATGCCCACAACCCCGTAATAATCCCAATATATTTCTAAAACTCGAAACTCTCTTTTATCCAACCAAATTTGTGGACAAGCAAATGGAGTAACATTTGGGAAAACGAAATATTCAAGATTGATATACTGTAGATGCTAGATGATAGTATCATAGCCTTCCTCTACATTGAGAAATGGTCAGTAGATGGAAACTAACATCTAGAACGAAGAAAGAAAATGACATAACTGTCAATCGGAATTTTGTACCAACTGATGTGGCAGATACTTAATGAAACACAACATCCTGCAGAACACCACGTTCTTATTTTAGTAGCAAAAGCACAAAAATAGTAGGATGTTCACCACTACAGTTTCTCAGACACACTCTTTTCACTCAAAAAATAAAAAATAAAAGATATTAGTAAATAAAAATATGAAGAAGCAACATGGAATCTCAAGAAACAAACATATATACAGATCACAGCAAGAAGGAAGTACATATGTTCTGTCTTAGCCAAGACATTAGCAGGTGTTGTGAAACTAATACAACCAAAGCTATGTTTGGGAACACCTAAATTAAATTTTCTCCAATTTCAAATCTAAGACACAGATTTGGTGCTCCCAAACACAATGTACGAATTTGTTGTTGTTTTGGCTTCTGGTCTTGTTCTATTCTCTTTTCTGTTCTTCCTACCACTGCTTTACTCGTTTGTCTGTTCTTTTAAACAAACGATCCCATTCATGTTTACCTTCTATTTTTCCAAATAAATTGTACTTCCAAGTAAATTCTTCGTCGAAATCAAAGCTAGAATTCCTCCCCTCTCTCATTTCCTCCCTCAATGTCTCCACCCTCTCAAGAACTCCCTTCACTGTTATGTCAAATGCATCTTCGAGTGTCTTCAATCTAGACCTTGGATCAGCGTAAATCACTTTGGGAATCAGTTTTATAACCTCCTCTCTCATTGCAACTATCTCGGCTTTACGAAAACCGCGCAATACCCTCTCAATCCTTACACTACTGTTTTTAAGGTCCTCCGGTATGAACACTGAGTACTTGTTGAAATTCTTTGGTAAATGCCATAGATACTGAATGTAAGCAGAACCGGGATGGAAAAACACCGGTATGCACCCTGCCAAGATTGAATCAAACGTTGATCGCCTAGTAAATGAGTCCCCGGGAGGCTGCAAGCAGAACACAGAGTTCTGAAAGATTTTCATCACAAGACCTGGCTTATTGCACTTGTTGTCAATATCAGTGCATCTGAGGAACTTGCATTTCCTCTCCGAGTTTAGGCACTGGTCGATGATCTCATTCCGGATAGAGTCATCCATGTTAGGCCTTGGTGCACCAACAAACGAAAAGAAGAACCCCCTTTTCAGTTTCCTCATCCTGCTTTGCCATCTGAACACCTCATTGTCACTGGAAGGATGGAAATATGTCGGATATGGCACCGCGAAGTCATTTTTATTCCAAGGACTCGATTCAATTGTCAAGATTGTCATGTTCTTAGACTCAGGCAACATCATCAGCTTGTTGCCCCAAAGCCAGTCCTCGTCTAGGGCTCTTCTGAAATCCCAAGTTATTCGCCCTGCAACGAAGAAATGGTCTCTTCCATACATGACATTCCACTCAGGTTTTTCTCTAAGCCACTTGACCAAATCAAGAGAGCCTAAATCTCTCATTGACGCGTTATAATCAAATAGGTGCCTAGAAACTTCTAGCCCTGCATAAAAGGGTACAAAAATGGCTGAAGCCTTGGATGAATCATTTGTCAAACACTTGTACTGTTTCATCCTGTTGTGGAATATGATCTCTAATGCAAATTGATTCGTCGCGAACCAACCAGAGCTACGAAATGGCTTGCCAAGACCCACGTTGATTATGTGCTTGCACATGTTGGTCCATTTGTTAAGTGTCCTGCATTGCTTGAGCAAGTCCTCGTTGAATCTGCTAGGAAGATCATGAACATATATGTATCGACCCGAACACGAATCAACACTAGGCTTTGGCTCACTAATCTTTTCAACAATGGGTGGTGAAAAACTAGCTTTTTTATCAACCCAATTGCTGTTCTTGATTGGCTCTTCTTCATTTTCTCTATCATAATCATGTTCATGTGCTGATTCGTTCTTTGACAAGAATGTTCGATTACTTGGCTCCAATTTTTTCTCAATAATCTGTTTTTGATCAACAGTTTCAACCCATGTTGTAGATTCTGAAGGCTCTACGGAATTTGTTTGGCTATGAGCTAATGGTGTGAGTCCGTAATTTGAAGACCAATCATAAACGTAAAGCAAGAAGTACCAAAGAACAAACAAGGCAAAGACGAAGAACCATAACTTATTGCGACACCTCGCCACCTGTGGCAAATTATCCATCTTTTCACGACGGATTGTTGTAGATAATTTTCTCCGCTGATTCATCAATTCTGGGAAGTGTTCATAGAGGATGCATTAGGAAAGAGAATAATGGAAACTCGGAAGGACACATGTGCCTGGTGCACCTAATATCTTCTCGAAACCAAGAATGAAAAGGTACGGATCTATAAAGCAAGAAAATTAATGAATTGGGTTGCGGAATTTTGAATAGGCTGTACACAAATGCTTTGAAAGCAATGCAGGAAAAAGTGTTCATAGAGGGTGCATTAGGAAAAAGAATAATGAAAATTCGAAGAACGTGTATGCTTGGCGTATCGAATATCTTCTCGAAGCTAAGAATGAGAAGAACGTGGAGATGTTTATAGCAAGTAACTAATTGGGTTACAAAATTTTGAATTGTTGTATGCAAATGCTTTGAAAAGCAATGCAAGAAAAAGTGTTCATTGGGGATGCAATAGGAAAAAGAATAATGGAAATTCAAAGAAATGTGTATGTTTGGCTTACCTAATATCTTCTCCAATCGAAAAATGAGAGGTGTTGATGTATACAGATAGAAATGAAATGAATTGGGTTACGAAATGTTGAATAGCTGTACACAAATTCTTTGAAAGAAATGCAGGAATTGAATGATGGAGAGTTGAAATTGAACCATTCAAGCTCAAACTCTTTTTATGGAATCTTCTAAATATGAGGAGCAAATCAGGATTCGTAACAGCGAATCCAAATTGGTCAATCTTCCTAATTTCTTCTGGTTCATTAACAGTTTGATATGATACGGTAATTTAGCATTAGTTCTATTCGCGACCGTTGGATTGGACTGCTGTTTGGGTAATATCTGATTTTAATCTCATTCTCTGTTTTTTTTGGTAAGTAATTTTTAACTCACTCATTAAATAGGATGAACCTCTTTCAATGAATAATACGTATTTGTTAGTAGTGGTGGAATTTTTTCATTACTCATAGAGTAATCATAGGAGTCAAATAATCGAATAAATTCCATTAATTTTATACAAAACAAAAGCTAATATCATGATCAAATCAAGAATATTAGTAATATTATAATTATGTCAACTATTACTTTAAATTGATCCAACTATCTAGCTTTACATTATTACTCTTGCATAAAATGGCTACATTTGAACTCATGTTGTCACATTCTCGGACCATTCATTTTACTAGCACAGCAAGCCATGAACTCTACGCAAAAATGGAAAAGTAATTAGATTCTGCCTTTTATACCTTTTAATACTTGGCCTCTCAGATATTGTTGTGATCCTGATTTTAGCATTAATATCAGAAGCTTGATCAATCCGCACCGATTGACCACATATATGCTGGTTGAGAAATTATTACATCGTTCATTGATGCTTAGTGAACCAGTTAAATTTAGACTCTCAAATTAAAAAAATGACTTCACAAGAATATATTAATATATTACAAAAAAAAATATCTCAACATTAATTTTTATTGGATTAGATCACCAACACTTGATAAAAAAAATTGACCAAAAAAAATATTTAATAATTTCTCGATATTGGATAAGTTGGACATGTCACGTCAAGAATCAAATCAATAAAAATTCACCATTTAGAGAATGGGTCCCAACACTTGATAAAAAAAACTGTTTAAAATTGTCGTTTATAAATTAATTTATAACATTTTCATCAATTGGCCACACGGATGACTTGATATCACCAAGATCACTCATACCTAACAAAAAACGGATAAACATACTCTCTAGGGCTGACCCTAGGCTTAGGTGACCTAAGCGATTGCCTAGGGCCCAAAATTTCGTATTACTAGGATTCAAAATATTTTGGACCTGGCATTCGACTGGGGCCTCATAAAATATTGGGTCTATCGGTACTTTATACTTAGATATCCCCACATAGACCCATAGGTGATAAAATGAGCTTTGAATAAGAGTGAAGGACTGAAAAGCCAATATCTTGAAACCCAGGACTGTTCAAATGTAAATTTATCACGAATTTTGTAAATGAATCAGACCTGAGTCTACACAAAGCCAAGCTACTATGTTTAAAAATTGTGTACTCAAAAAAGGTTGTTCAAAATAATTACTTTGTCAATAAGGTAAACAAAAACAAAATCTAATGAACTATAATGAACGGGTTTGTATCAGACTATCAATTTAACATTTATTGCAGTTGTTTAGTTTTTGTTTATTGGTACATTTTACAACACAACTCAATAAAAATGAGTTTTTAGTGATTTTATTAAATTTTTATAAAAATTAGTTTTAAGTTATTTTTAAAAATTTTGGAAGCCTATTTAACACAAGTAGAGACCCATTTAGGAATCCTAAGTCAATATCATTATTAAAAGAAGAAAAGTAATTTTAGTAATTTACTAAGCTAATGAATAATAATGAAAATCCATAGGATATACAAAATGTGAAATTTAGAAATAGAAAATAAAAGAAAATGAATCTACAAGTTAAAATTGATTACAAAAAATTATTTCATGCCAAAAGTAACGGGGAAAAGACGAATCATAATATATGTAACATGTGTATCAAAATAAGATTTATCATTTACGAGTATTAAAAATATGGATAAAAATAAATTTAAAATTTTGTAAACATAAAATACTAAGGCAAAATTTTTGACAAATTAAGGGCAAATTGTATAAAACTCCTCCGCTTTCAATTTTTGGCATAATACCCCCTAAGAAATTGGTCTAAAACCAAACTCGACTATCCAATTATTAAATGAGACGGGACGAGGCAGGAGGGCACAGAGTGGAGGAATTTGAACGGAGCATAATGGGGTAGGGGAACTTTAGAAAACCAATTTAGACCGAAAACGACTTCCAGTTTATTAAACATGAGGAAAAATATTAACTTGCTAATGAGTTTTTGTTATGGATTGATGTAATAATCATTAAGTTAAATTCTCTCGAAAAGAGAAACCTTATTCTTATCAAAACACGGACAAAGTCCTCGATGGACACTAGTTATGGAGATGCGCAAAATACCAATAGGTGTTTGTAGCATTACTTTAGATAAAACATAGACGAGGAAGCGATCCAGTTACAAAATCTCCCTATAGCCACTGGATAGGTGTTAACTGTGCAGAGGCACGGACACACAATAGGACCAGTGGGAGCGAATGCCCCCACTTAATTTTTTATTTTTGCATTTTATACGTCAAATTTTTAAAAATTTATGAAGATACCCCAACTAAAATTACAATTCGCCCCACTGTATAAATGTACCCCCACAAATTAAAAGTTGGCCTTCCCTCACAAATTTTTTGAGTGAGTCACTAACATTATTCGCTAGTGACTAGGTGTAACGAGTGAGCACTTACCCATTTACCCAAAAGTTCAAGTTGTTGGGTAGCGCTGCACACCTACCCATTTATACCCAATCACTTTTTCCATCCGGATTCGATGGGGGACAAATGACCCTTGTTACATTCTCCCCCACCCGAACCCACACAACGCCCTCGTTGCGGTCGGTCCACCCTGCCTACCTGTGGTGAAAAACTCGGACGCTCCCCGAATCGAGCACTAGGCGTGACACCAGATCAATAATTAGATTTGGCTCTGATACCAACTGTAACGGGTGAGCTTTACTCATTTATTCAAAAGCTCAAATTGTTGGGTAATGCTACACACCCACCCATTTATACACAATCACTTTTCTATTGGGATCCGATGTGAGACAAATGACCCTTGTTACACTAGGGCCGCAAATGAATCAAATTGAGCCAAGTTGAGCTTGAGTGTGTTCGGGCTTGGCTTCGTTCTTTTGTGGGCTTAATTCGGAATTCTAACGACTTTGAAAAGTTTAGCTTGGACTTAACTCATTATTATTTGAAAAGTACGAACTCGATTGGTTTAATAACTAAAATCATTCAAGCTTAAATTGAGCTCGTATCCAAAATCGCTTTGGACGGTTCACAAACTTATACGAAGATACATATATCTATTCATGAATCCATACAAATCTATTATATTTATAAATGTGTTCACGAACCTATTTTCACGAACATATTCAGAATCCAGCCTATGCTTAAGGTCGACCCGTTGACTTAACTAAACAAACGAAGCCCAGCGGAGCCCAACCGTCATGATTAGGTCGATGTCCATTTGCACCTTGTGTGTTAAAAGTGTTGTGACAACTAGAAAACAGTATGTGTCCAACGTTCCAAATAAGCAAACGACATAACGAGAACAAAAACTAACAAAGCACTGAAAACCGTTGGCCTTGAAACTATGTAGTATGTTCTCATTCACCCTCTGTCCCTCTCCCTCTCTCTAAAAATAGCTCTTCTTCCCCATCTTTCACGATTTATGGTTATTCATGGCGAACTAACTCATCTGGGTTTTCAAATCCCGACCTCCAATTCAAACCTAAACCAATGGAAATTCTCTGCTAAATTCTCTGTTCTCTGTTTTGAACGGTGATGGGGAGGGACCATTCTCCGGAGCTTGAGATCAAGGTCCGTCCCCGACGAAGCGAATATGAATCGGCCCGTCCGCCCTCAGGATCACGGCATTCCCAAAAGCCCCAGCAGCTGTTCAGGCAATGGGACCCCTGGTTGGTGCCAACCTTCACTGTGGTCAACATTGTCCTGTTTATAGTTACAATCTACATCAATGATTGTCCTCATCACTCCGGCTCTTGTTTCGGCGAGGAATTCTTGGGACGCATGTCCTTCCAGCCCCTCAAAGAGAACCCACTTCTCGGTCCCTCGGCCACAACGTGAGTCTCTCCCAATTCACGCATTTTCTCTTCATATATTTATGTATGTGTGTGTGTTTGTGTGTGTAATTCAATGTGATATAGGTATATAGCTGTTGAAGTTTGAGCTTATTGGGTTTTTGTGCTTTTACGTTCTGGATGTTCATTTCATGTTTGATTGAATGTGTCAATGAAGTGAACAGATGATTGACTCTTATACAATGTTATGAATATGTTATTGTTTGTTGCTACTTGCTTCAGCACTGTTGATGTTCGATTTCTCTTTTCTTGATACACCAAGATGGAATGTTGACTAAATTGCCGAATTTGAATTCTGGGAACATTCTGCATTAGTTAGAAATTGTGGTGGAAAATTTCTAACTTGAAGTTCTTAAAGTTTACCTTTTTTATTAGTAATTTTCCTTAATTTTGCCATAAAACTATACAAGTCATTTGAAAAGTTTGCTGAATTCAACTGAGTAATTTATAAAATTTCAAATATGAACTTTCTATGATAGTGATAAATTTAGTAATAAGAAAATTTCAGATGCCCTATAGAGATTAAAAAAAAAAAATCATTGTGAAGGGAAAAAAAACCATTGTAAGAACTTGGGGGATACCACTGGGTTCTTTGAGGGTACCTAAGTTAGTCATATGACTCGTATTAGAGACATGATGTCAATTCTCAAATTCACAAGAGTTGGGGGTTTAATGTAGGGGAATGGGTATCCCCATTTTGTAGCGCCACCACTGGAGTCTGGACCAAAAAAGTCAAGGAATACCAAAAGAATGCCACTAGTTCTTTTGAGCTCCACTTGGAAAGCTCCCTTAGAAATTAGAATATTATACTATATGGATTTGCCTTGTGAAAGTTGTATAAATCATATGGTTTTTACTATGGTTTGCTTTTCATTTTTGTTTTTTAGTGTCTAATATTGGGTGCCTTCCAATTTCTGATTAATTAAGTTCAACGTGATTATTTTGGAATATTTTTTCCTTAGTGTGTTGCAACGTTTGAAGTGCTTGGTTTAATCGATGAAGGTTGAAAGTTGAAACCATGAAAGTTGGCAGAATGCCAACTATGAATTGAACTAAAACGCAGTGGAAAAAATATGATTGACACCAGCACGTGTCTTCATGTATGTAATGGTAGGAGAAAACTGTCGCTAGACTGTTTATTGACATATTTGTTCCTGTTCCTTGATAATTATTTTTGAGAACTTTGAAAATGTAAAACAGTTTTTAGCGACATATTTGTTCCTGTTCCTTGATAATTATTTTCAAGAACTTTGAAAATGTAAAACAGTTTTTAGAGAACAAAAAAAGTGTTCCCTGAAATTGAGTAATTCTTTTCTATCACATAAAAACCAAAGGAAACATGCCTAGTGGTTCTTTATGCTTTCCTCGTAACAAAAATTGCAACTGTTGCGCCTTTCTTCTGATGCAAAGTTGCTTGTTTTTGCCTAATGATTGTTCGATCCTAGTTGATTCTTGAACACATGAACTTATATTTCATTACTTTGATTCTAATAAATTTATCTATTTAACTTGCTTTCTTTGTGAAGTAAGTAACTGGAAAACTAAGATGGGAACAGTTATAATTTTTTCAGAAATATTGATGGACATTTGGTGCTGGTTTCTTGATAAAAGAATGAATTTAAAAAATTCAATTTGTTGAAATTGCAGAGTTAAAGAAAGACCCATTTCAGAGAACAATTTTTTTATATCTATTTCAAATATTCTTGAAGAACACAATAAAAAATGATCTAAAATATTGTCCATTTTTCCCAATTTGTTTCTGCTTGGTATATTATGGTTAACTAAAAATTCTATGGCCAAACCATGTTTAATCTTGGGTGATCTTAGTATGAACAAATACTAAATCACCATCTACCTTAAAAGTTGAAAGCTTAAACTGTTTAGGGATGAGCCCAACAATACATATCAAGCTTTAATACCTTCCTTCATGTGCAACTCTGTCTTGCAGGTGGCAAGGTAAACAGACCAAACCAGAACAAAGTGTAAACTTGTGCACCAATCTGAGGGAACAAATGCATATATGGAGACCTGATTCCCTAGAACCAAAACTTTGATACCACATATTACACCATCCCCCCTAAAAATTTAAACTATTAAGGAATGATTCCAACATTCTATATCAATCTTTAGTACATATGGTTGGATTTCGGTCCACTCATGCATCATCTGCATTTATCTAAAAGGTTAAACTATGATAGAGGGGACTTAATTCTTTACATTCTCTAACAATGACTTTTGTTTTCCTTAGTGACAAGTAATTTGCCTTTCTGAAGAACTTTCTGGAAATCACAATTAAGTCGCTGAATGTAAACGTATTAACCTGTATAGACTATACTTGTTAAATGTTGATCATAGGAGGGGGAGTAAACTTATTGTGATACTAGTTCTAAAGCGGATGGTATATAACCTAATTTTGTCTTTTTATATCTTTAGCCTACAGCTTATGGGGGCTCTAGATGTGAAGAAAGTGATCGATGATAAACAAGCATGGCGTCTTTTCACTTGTATGTGGTTACATGCTGGGGTACTTCATATTGTCACCAATATGTTTAGTCTGCTATTTGTTGGCATTCGACTTGAGAAGGAGTTTGGATTTGGTATGTTTCTCACTGTTCTCCACTTCATCTCTATTACTGATATAGCTTACAAAATTATGAGTTGTAATGACAAGGCATTTATAAGCTTGATAAATTTTTTTATACCATTCATCTAAAATCTGAGGCTTAAAATATAGCTAGTTTATTTATTTATTTATTTTTGTATCTAGATGTCATTTAAGAACCTCAAATATCCATTCACTAAGTGTTGATTCTATTTTGAAACTTTGAAATACAATTTGAACTCTGTTGATCACTTGGTCCAACATTTAAGTAAAGAAGAAGACAGGTTCTTTAATGGGTGAGGTAACTAACATATCAGTTTGAAACAGACCCTCAAACTTAGAGCCGGCTCAATCCAGTCAAGGCCTAAGGCACCTTGAAATATTATCACAAGTGGTAGATGTTGAGTTTTTTACTTTTCCGCCTATGTTTCTCAATTTTTGGTTGGCAAATGATTTCAATGGAAATGATAATTATTCCATTATTGTTGACAAATTATTTTCTGTTCTTAACTCTGGTTTTTCTATTCGCCTTCGTAAATTTTGGAGAACTTCCAATTGCAAACCTTTCATCATTAAGGGATGTAGTCTAGTGGTTGAGGATTTAAATCCCCAAAAGTACAAAATGGTTATATGAGTTTCTTGCCAAGGAAAGGAATGCAGAAATTTCATTTAAGATAATTAATTTGAAAAATAAATATTTTGATGATAGTTATACATACGGTGAGGGAGAAGACGTTCGAAAGAAGATGAAAAGTTAAAAAAAAAATACAAGTGAGTAGAAGACCAAAACAATAAGTAAAAACATGGAAAAAAAGATGTAATTGACTTACCAAAAAAAAGAGATGTAATTGAAGCACCTCAACATGAATTCTAATTGGACTTTTTGATGTGGAGGTCCTAGACTGCCTAAGTTGCCGATGCATTGAGTGGCCCTGCCAAATCTAGGAAAAGAACAACAAAAGGCACTTGGCCATATGCAATTCACGGTGGAGAAAGAAATTAACAGAACAAAGTAAACAAACAAATCTCATTTCATGTAACACAGCTCAATTAGTTACCACAAGGATGTATGTTATCTTATGCATATCTTCCCCTTCCTCTAACATTACCCTCAATGTGGATCATGTCATTTTTTGTCATTGATGCAGTTATTGGTATTTGTTGCGCATAGCCAAATTATATTTTATCAATTTTCTTTCCAATTGGATTTACTAAAAGCATCTTACAAATGTATTCATGTTCAGTTTTATCATTTCTTGTCTTGCCACATGTCCATCTCTAAATTTCGTTTCAACCATACTCATTCCTGAACATGTTACTTTTTAGTTATCTAATATTATGTTGGTTGGTTTAATAACTGTTTTATAGAATTTAGTTTCGATTTTAGATATCGTCGTTTCTTTAATTTTACTTCGTATTTTCCATTACACTGAGGGGTCCAATTCATGTATTAAAGTCATTAATGTATGAAAGTCTCACTGGGGACACTAAGAGTAAGAAAAAAGCATTGCTCTAAGTTCTCTTGGGGTCTAATTACTTTATATTGACCATGAAATAACTTCATTTCACATGCCAAATGCAACTCTAGAAAAATATAATTTGATAAGATTCACAGGAATGCTTTGAAGGAATGTAATAACATATTTGTGGATGTTTTTGATACATAACATCTCCATTTTTGGGGATATTTTAGGATAAATAGCATCTCCATGCCTAATGAGTCCCTGAATCCACAACTTAGGTTAAAGTAGGCTTAGTATAGATTTAATATTTAAAAGGACATTTTTGCAAAATATGTTTTCTCATAAAAAATTCATTTCCAGTTTTGATTTTTTTGAAGTTCATGTTCAGATAACTCTCTAACTCAATGTTAATGGCTGCTTCAATTTTTTCGGTAAAGGCCGTAAAAGATCTAATATCAGGCCCGTCATTTAAGCTTTGCATCTTGCTTCATTGTGGAAAACACTTGAGTAAAATCTGACTTGTGACACGTACTATATTATGTTAAGCTATAATTTAGTTGTAAATATACCTATTTTCATGGAAAAAATTATAGAATGTTGTTGAATAATTGAATTAGATAATTTTTGTTTGGAATTCAATATCCAACCTACATTACTACAGCTCAAAGTAAAATTCAAAAGTGATCACTCTACTTACATGGTCATGAAGATCAAACTTTAAAAAGGGAAGTATAGTAAAGTTGGATAAGATTCCTCATAAAATTAATGAATTGTACTACTTAGGGCTGTGTCCCTTTAGCATAACAGTTATTTTTAGTTTATCAGAGTTCCAGTACATTGTCCAGTAATTAATTTTTTACCTTTTTACTGTTCTGTTGAAGTCATTCGTGACTAGAGTTACTTAACAAGGTAAAAAAGTGGGGATGTAATCATGGTGACCTTTAATAAAGATTTTAAAAAATAAACTAAATGGTTTCATTAAAATATGAAAAAGATGTAAAAAACTGTATCCCCCATTATCGAAGTATATCTAAAACACAAATTGTAGACATTAACAAGAGGGATATGTGGTTTCCCTGGGACAGATTTGGGTAGATCATGTCCGAGGCAGAGCACTTTTTGAAGCTTACACACTTCTGTAATTGTAGTCTTTAATTTGTGAAGAAAGCATGTCCCTTAATATGACCCGCAAACAAGACAGTCTAATGAAACCACAAATATACCAGGACTCCCTGTGTTTTATGTATTTTATATTTTATCTTTCTTTCTTCATAATGTTTCTAAATAAAAGGACAAGAAGATTGGAAAAGTGCATTTCTTACCGTTGTACAATGGTGCATATTTTTTTATTTATCATTATTTATAATGGAGGTTTTGTAGTCAAGTCTCTTTAGTGACATTGAGTTGATCCTTCTGCAGGGCGGATCGGGATACTGTACATTGTATCTGGAATGGGCGGGAGTTTGTTGTCAGCTTTGTTAGTCCGGGCAACCATTTCTGTTGGTGCCTCTGGTGCACTATTTGGTTTACTTGGGGCAATGCTTTCGGAACTTATTACAAATTGGACAATATATGCTAATAAGGTGTAAAAAGAAACTATTTCTTTTGCTATTTAACCTTTATTCCTTGAATTAGCCATGTGTGGTTATCTTATATTTTCTTTTTTCAGTTGGCAGCACTTTTCAGTCTCATTCTCATCATCGCAATTAATTTAGCTGTGGGAATCCTGCCGCACGTGGACAACTCTGCCCATGTTGGGGGATTAGTTACTGGTTTTTTTGTTGGTTTCGTGTTTTTTATACGCCCCCAGTTTGGGTGGGTTAACCAGAAAAGTGGTCCCCGAAATAATATTGGGAGCTCAATTAAATCCAAATATAAGACATATCAAGTTGTATTATTGGTTCTCTCCCTCATACTTCTAATCACCGGGTAAGTTCTCAACATCAAATTTGGTTACATTTTGAATTCAAAGGCACCTTTTATTCCTTGAGAGAAACTTAAAATTAAAATTTTATATCATAGTCATCAGTGAGCTAATATTTGTTGTGACAGCAACAATATAATCACCTCAAGATCCAACCCGAACAATAAGAAATCATACAAGCAACTCGGCTTACATCCATTGATGAGAAGTGATAATCACTATATATTCATTGAGAACCTTAAAGAAAATGCAACAACTCAGAACCGAAATTCCCTCTTAGGATATCCTGCCCAATACCCAAGCCCTTCTCAATGTCATAGGACAAGTGACACAGGTATCACACTTCCCTGCTCGCCATCAGTTTTCTTAGTCTCTCTTAACTATCTCTACAGTACTCAAAGAGCTATCTCTGGCATGAGTTAATTCTCCTAAGAGACTAAATCTCTCTCACTCTCACTCTCACTCTCTCACAAGTCTCAGCTCGTAACTAGATATGTAGTTATAGAGTCTTAATCTTAAGTTCCTTGTTGGACAAGAAATTACAGTTCCTTTTTATCCTAGAGTTTCCTAACAAGAGGTTTCCTAAACAAAATATAATTCTAAAATAGAGATCACACAAACTAAGGAACTTGAGACATAATTCCTAACACTACTAGTCCAGGCTATTACTTTCACAATGGTGATTGGACCTTTATACTACCTCAAATAGAAAAGTGATGATGGCTTTATTCACGATGAACATCATAACGATGACTCGTGTCCACAATTTTAATCTTCACAGGAGTTCAAGCTGAAGTCAAATGCAGAACTTTGGCTAATTATAGTGGACATTTTAGTTCTGAATTTCCTTAAATTACTCTGCTTGTCGAGTGACAACAGTCTCTCTGAAGTCGGAATTTTGAGACTTGCTCACTTAACTTTATTGAGACCTTTATCTCATCATATGCCTCCAATTCTTGCACTCAAAGCCTTTTTAGGAAAAATAAATAAATAAAACATCTGCAGCGGTTGGTGGTGGTTAACTGCATGTGGATTCATGAAGAGAGAGAATCCAACTTGCTTATCTTCTCCACCGTGTCCACGTGTCAGACTCTAACCCATTCCGCAGCTGATTCGCTGAGGATCTTTGTTTTTTGTACTGAGGAGTTTCCTTCTTCACGTGCCTCTTGTTTTAAGGTTTCCTTCTTCCAGCACTCTCTTCAGTTCCAGGTTAGGTGGATGGAAGTATTAGATCCTTCAATATAACCAGATGGTACCTGACCAATTTATGCACACATAACTATGATATTCATTTATTTTTTTGTTTTTTTTATAGGCAAGGGATTAATGGCAAAGAAAAATCACTAGACCTGGAGGGCTTGCATTACTTATACCATCCATGAAAAACTGAAAATTTTCCATCATTTGTATGAATTTAGGCACACATTACTATGATATTCTGGTCGTAATATCAGTGTACTATTCAATTAAGTATCTGAATAATATGAAATGAATTAGATGTGCTGTACTCAAACTGAAACAAGGTTCAAATAAATAGTAGCAGTTGTTATAAAGCCTCTTCCTTCAACCTGCAGAATAATTAAGTTTCATATAGAATATTATCGTCAATAAATATTCACCTGCTCGTGTTGCACATCTGATACAGTTATTTGTTTAAATTAATTTCTAATACCAAACACACCCTATATTTATATTTATAGCAATCTGGCAGAACAAAATTGATGTTAATAGCCCTAAGTGGTTGGGAATAAGGCTTTGTAGGAGTTGTAATGTGTTATTATGAAACTCATTCATTTTTATGCTATTATGTTGCTGGCATCATTTAATTAGGGAGTTCTTTGACCCAATGTTACGTATTCTGGCAGATTTGCTGGTGGCCTGGTTTCACTTCTCCGAGGAGTTGATGGGAATGACTACTGTTCCTGGTGTCACTACTTAAGTTGTATTCCTACCTCAAAATGGAAATGTCATTCGCAAAAAGTGTATTGCGAGGTAACTGATGCTGCCATCTTATTTCTTTTGCATGCTTTTCATCATCATCGTCATTATTATTATTACTATTATTGATGAATCGAAAACTCAGACTTAAGAAATGACCAGAGGAGGAATCTCCTCGTCACTTTCAGCAAATGTGGGTGAAATCATCTTCCTATGCTGCTTCTACTTTAATCTGATGCCCAGCTTAGCAAGCCAACCCACCATTTGATTTGTTCCAAGACATGATGCATCATATTATACTTGAATTTGTATGACAGAAGGAAACTGTAGTCTTCTAACAATGAAATCAGTTTTTTTTTTTTTATTCCTTAGAGCTTTAGAATCGTTCGAAAGTCTTTCTATTAAAATGATGTGACAGCCTAAATTAACTTCTTGAAGGGTTGCGTCTTATAGCCCCTAAATGTTTGAGTTTCAACCCCTAAAACTATGGTCTTAGTGCTAATCATTAAGGGGTAATCTTTGAAATCCTAACACTGTTTCAACTGCCCTTTCTACGAGTCTTTTCCAGAGAACGAGAACCTAAATATCCCTAGTATACTCCCTATTTGTTCTAGTTGCTGAACAGAAGCAAACCTAGAATGCTTTGTATCAAAAGCTTTTTTATTCCAACATTTCCGCAATGGCCATAATGCATGATAAACTTGTTCAATGGTATTTTATATATGAGATGGCGCTTTAAAAAATAATGGCGAACTCAATGTATGTTTTTCTGATGGATCTTGATATGTATGCATATACTGAATGGTGCCGTTGCAGTCCAACCTAATTGGGAAGGATCTGAGCTTGACATGCCTAAGCAACGGCAAGAAGAAGAGTTACACGTTGACAGACAGTAGCCACACTTCGGAGATGGAGCAGTTCTGTTCTGAGCTCTGCAGCAGCTGATGTATACAAGAGTGCACGTAGGAGAAACACTGAAGACGGTGTGAGCAATGTCACTGAAAGTCTTGGTGTATCTACTCCATTTGTGCATCTGTAGAAAATATATGACTTGCTAAAAGTAATTCTTTTATTTTTACAATTCTTTTTTTCTTTCTACCATTTGTGAGACCTTTACATAAAAAAAAAAGTTTTGTAACTAAGATGGGTGTTTGAAATCTTGTTGCATCTCTATTGTCTCACGACTCTCATTGATGTTAAAACTGCAGCCAGAGAAAATGGTGACCTCCCAAAGGGAGGTAAGAGGCCGATACCGTTAGGCCATTGGCCCGTTTGTAAATAGAATTAGATTTAAATTGGCTTCATGGTGGTCTAGTACAGTACTTAAGCACTTGACTAAATGTAACAAAATTATCTTCCATTTTTAGTTTTCTTGTGTCTAATATAGTGGTAAACTAGTTAGTCGATATATTTATCAGGATGGATGATGGATGGGGCAGGCAGAGAGTGAGAAAATGAGAGAGTTAGTTACTCTTTTTCATGCTACAAATTTTTAATGGAGCAAGTACTTATATTGTGGGGTATATATATATATATATATATATATATATATATATATATAAATAGTGGAGACATTATTAGGATTTTAACAAAACTACAGAAATGCAATACAAATAAAAAAATTCAGTTGCCAACGTAAAACCGTGCAGGACTTTCTATTTCTAAATTTTCATTCATTGAAGTTTGGAATTTCATGTAGAAGTTTTCAATTAGTGTCTCCGTCCAAAGTGTTATACTTCGACTCTCTGCATTTACTAATCTAACTTTAAACACTTCTTGCCTTATAAAAATATCAATAAAAAAAGTTTAGAATTTAATGGAGAGAGAGTGTGTTACAGTATGAAAAGAATTAGGAGCTTGGAAAAAGAAAGGGCTATCTGAAGTGTGTGTTTGTGTAAAATATATATATTAATTATATTGTTAATTTGTAATTTTTATAGTTTAGTGGTATTTTTTTCGGTTTCAAAATAAAAAGTCTAAGAGTTGAAGTCTTTGCAAGGACAAGTGGGATACGTGAATGTGTTTTGTGTTTTTTGTGAAGGTTGAAAAAAAAAATTATAATTTTTATATTTAATGCAATAAAGTAGTAAATAATATAAATAATTTCAAAAAAATTATATAATTGGTGTATAGTTTACGAATTTATAAATTTTAAAGTTTGAAAATTAATTTATATTTAATATTATAATATAAATATATAATTTTCAATTATTTGTAGATGCGACTCTAATGATAATGAGGATATTTTCAACACAACTCACTTTTAATTCTGACCTCAGAATTTAATTCTACGATAATTAATTAATCAATGTTTCCTTTTTATATTCAAGGTAATTGCTTCTTCTTTTTTTTATTACCATTATATCTTATTAATAGAAAATGACAAAAGTAGACATGTTTTTAATTAAAATAAACTAAAACCAAATTGATTAGGATTTTCTTTTTTTATGAATTCCTTCCTATCCGAATTCTCAAAGCATACCGATTAAAAAAAAAAAAAACATGAGATTTCCAGTGTTGGCAATCAAGCCTGATCCTTTGAACATTGTTTTACTCTAATTTTATTTTCAAAATCTATTTAACATGAAAAAAAAAAAAATTATTTCTCTTATTCTCTTCAAGTAGCTAGTGAGATCAAATAACAACAAATAGAAATCAACATGAATAGCAAACTTGTGTATGGCAAGCTAATTAAGAAATTCCCAAAACATAAAAAAATAAAATAAAAATAATCCTTCCCATCCATTCAGCAAGGGAATTCCCAAAGCATACAAAAGAAAGAAAAAAAAAAAATTGGAATCCAAATTTTTTTTTATTTTTATAATTGGTATGCTTTGAGAATTCCCAAGCTAAAAGAATGGGAACGAAGGGAATGAATTGAACCTTCCATCGTTGAAGGGATTGAAAATTTCATTTTTATTTTTGTTTTTTTCAGATATGGTTGCCTTTTATGTTTCAATCTTCTATCGTTGAAGGAAGTCGAAATAATTAATTTTTTTATTTTTAGTTGGTATGCTTTGATAATTTGGATAGGAATGAATTCATATAAAAGAAAATCCTAACCAATTTGGTTTTAGTTTATTTCCATTAAAAACATGTCTAGTTTTGTCATTTTTTATTAATAATATATAATGGTAATAAAAAAGAAATAACTGCCTTAAATATAAAAAGAAAATACTGATCAATTAATTACCTTAGAATTAGATTCTAAAGTCAAGATTAAAAGTGAGTATATTAGTCTTTGGCGCATGTTACTCTTTGCCCACCAGAAAGCAATTCAAGCTAATAATTTTTAACATATGACAAGGTTACATTGATGATTTTGTATTTTTAGTAAAGGTAATTTTAAAGTAACAAATGAATACGACTCAATTGAATTCATTCATTATTTAAAATATAAGTTTACGAGGAATGAAAATAATTTTTAACACGAGCTTGAATTAAGTACGAACAACTTTTATTATTATTAAACTAGCCGAATCTAAATTTATTAAAATAAAAATATCTAACCCTACTTTTGACCTCGTCACAATCTAATTGAGTTCGAACTGAACCCACAAACGAAAACGCGAGTCCGAACGGCCTCAATCCGCTATCCTTCATTTACAACCCTAGCGGTAATTCAGTAAAAACCTCAGTTTAGAAAAAGGCAATTTCGACATTAACCAAAGACTGCTAATGTACAGAAAAACAGTAGTACACCTATAGGCTCGCGCATCCACGCCATCTGATTTTTTGAATTTTTACATATTCTCTCTCTGGAAGCCTCTCTATATATCTCTCTCTCTCACACACAAATCGGTACTCCAAGCTTCAACCTTTCGTAGCAACAGGTGAGTTCGCGTTCTTGTTCTCTCTCTAACTCGAACGTTTCATTAGTTCACAATTAATTTAGGTCACAAATTGGGCTTTCGTTGATTCATGCATGAACTAGGGTTTTTGGATCGATGGATAATAGGAATGAGCGTAAACTGATTTCTCTGCTGTCAATTTCTTGTTTGTTGCTTAGAAAACGTTAGAAAACAAATAATTTTCAATCCTATAATCATTCGGCACGGATTGAAACCCTAACATCCACTCACCTATGTCTTATATATTTTCTTTGAAGTGATTTTCTTTTTTGTTTGGAATTTCCTCGGCGGCCAAACGGAGGATAAAGGTATTGTTTTTGCTTTTTGTTTGCTTCTTATTTATATGAAGGGGGATACGAGGTCGATCCTTCTGTAGTCACTCATAGACCTTAGTTGTTGTTGATTGTATTTTTCGTGTTGCAATCTATATTTCAAAGCAGTCAAAGAGGGCATCTTTATCTCCTAGTTCCAAATCCTATCCATTATATATTTTCTTGTATGTATGCATTTTTTTCAGTTTTAATTCTTTCTAACTATAAATAAACGTCTATGATTACTTGTCTGTGCAATGCTAGGCTCACCGTCGAAATTAAACATGTCACTGGCGCTATATTTCAGAAATATTGCGGTTTTCCCCTCCCCTTTTTGTTAATATTGACATGAGTTTTAAATATTTTTTTCCCTCTCATGTCATCCATTTTATCTGGATGGAGTCATGTGTTAACAATTTGGTGGCGTACTTTAGTGGTTAGACCTCGCCTCCCAGCCAGCCGAACTTCTCTGAGTTTTTTGTTTGTTTTAAAGGTTTATTCTTACTAAGTTTTGTGATTATAGAGGGTCACAATGGTGAATTCAAAAGGAAAGCGTGGTGCATCTGCCTCCAATTCTAAATCCAAAACTAATGATGCACGTAACCTTGCTCAAAATGAGACAACTGCGTCCTGTTCAATGAAGACAAATGTAGAAGAAACTGTGGTTGTTTCTGAAATTGAAGATGAGGAAAAAATTGCAGTAGAAGAAGTGACGACTGTAGTAACCACAATTGAAGAAGAAAAAACTGAAGTAAATGCAATAGAAGTAGAAGGAAAGGATGAAGAAAATGCAACTGAAGAAGAAGATAATAGTGAAGAAAATGTATTAGAAGGCGAAGAAGATGAAATTGAAGGAGAAGAAGAAGATGAAATTGAAGGAGAAGAAGAAGATGAAATTGAAGGAGAAGACGATGAAATTGAAGGAGAAGAAAATGCAGCAGGGGAAGAAAAGAAAGAAGAGGAAGTAGAAGCAGATTCCAAGGGAAAAACAATGAAATTGGGGAAAAAGAGCACAAGGAAGAAGGTGGCACAAAGGAATTCTAAGGAAAGGAGTGAAGAAAGTGTATTAGAAGGTGAAGAAGATGAAATTGAAGGAGAAGAAAATGATGAAAATGCAGCAGGGGAAGAAAAGAAGGAAGAGAAAGTAGAAGCAGATTCCAAGGGAAAAACAATGAAATTGGGGAAAAAGAGCACAAGGAAGAAGGTGGCACAAAGGAATTCTAAGGAAAGGAGTGAAGAAAGTGTATTAGAAGGTGAAGAAGATGAAATTGAAGGAGAAGAAAATGATGAAAATGCAGCAGGGGAAGAAAAGAAGGAAGAGAAAGTAGAAGCAGATTCCAAGGGAAAAACAATGAAATTGGGGAAAAAGAGCACAAGGAAGAAGGTGGCACAAAGGAATTCTAAGGAAAAGAGTAAAGAAAAAGTAGTAGGAGAAGATGAAAAGAGTAAAGAAAAAGTAGTAGGAGAAGATGAAATCGAAGAAGAAGAAAATGATGAAAATATAGCAGGGGTACAAAAAAAGGAAGAGAAAGCAGAAGCAGAATCCAAGGGCAAAACAAAGAAATTGGGGAAAAAGAACACAAGGAAGAAGGTGGCACTGGGGAGTTCTAAGGAAAGGAGTGCTAAAGATAAAGATACGCCTGAATCATCGGCCAAGAAGAAGGCTTCAAAAAAAGTTGAGACTATGGGGATGATTTTCATGTGCAGTTCGAAGACGAAGAAGGACTGCTACCGTTATGGAGTTTTTGGTCTGCCTGCTAGCAAGAGAGATATGGTACAGAAGATCTATAAAGGAATGAGGTTGTTTTTGTTTGATGTTGATTTGAGGCTATTGTATGGGATCTACAAAGCATCAGGACCTGGGGGTTACAACATCGAGCCTGAGGCTTTTAAATCTGATTTCCCATCTCAGGTTAGTTTGTACATCTCTGATTATTTTTAACATACACTGCTTTATTACTTGATACGGTATCTGAAAAAAATAAATATTCAGGGAAGAATTCTTCAGGTGTTTAACCATAGTCAATAGGCAATTGTAACTTATGTAACATTAGGTGAGTGCCTTCTTGGAATTGAACGGTGTAACCTCCTATGTCTCAGATAAAAGCATCATTACAGACAAAGGCAGATAGGAGAGTAGTTGTCAGTTTCTATGTATGGGTATTGCTACTAAATCCTTTAATACCTGCATGTCTATGTTCAATTCCTTATTTTCCTAAAAGAGAAGTATTCAAGTTAGATGTTTAAAGCAATATATTGTCTTGACCAAGGCCTGAAGCTCAGTTGTATCTCATCCGCCTCCCTAAGTGGAAGGTTGAGTGGTCAAGTTCTCATAGGGGCAAAGTGGCTGTGTGTTATATTAGGATAGAAGAAAGAAAAAAACAATTTATGTTCTCGTGTGGCACATATCCTTGGCCCAGTTGATTTAATAAATTCTTTAACCAAATGAATTAAGGACAATGATCATGGTGACCATATGAAGATAAACATATCGTTTATAGATGGTTTTGGCTCAGTCCAGGTTAACAATATTGGGAATTCTAAAATTTTTGGAAGAAAATTTTCCTAGTTATGGTCAGTTTCTTATAATTTGTTTCTTTCTAATGAAGATTATCAATTGTTGGGTGTGAGATAAGTGCAAATCGATTCCAATACAACCATGATAAATGCAGGATCGTCACTCAAAGCTTTATGCATCAGAGTATGGGCATGGCCCAAAATAGATATACTGATATAGAGTGGGGGATGAATATAATTTGAATTTTAAGTTTTTAACTAACAATAACTAATTTTAAAATTCTATTTATTATATTTAAAACACAACAATATTAGTAAGTTAAAAATTGAATGCTAGATATAAAAAACCATTTTTACGTGAAAAACGCACAAGACCTAGTCCAGACAGATAAATTTCACTCTGAGAAAGAGATGCAACTAGATTAACAGTTCCTATTCCCTAAAATCCCTAGTTACCTTTTGACACAAACTGATTCACCAAACTCTCCACTCGAGTTTCTAGGCACACAGTCTGCTCCATCAACAGATTCGTCCTCTACAAGCACTTTGCTCTCCTTGGCCAGTCGTCCAAGTTGCATGCTTGTTGTTTAGAGACCCTTCGGTGTTGAAATTTGCCGTTTAGCATAAGGATTATGATATTCAACACTCTTAATAAAAACTTACCATCTAATGTGAGATGTAGATGATGGAAAATAAAATATGGTCTCTAAAACTCTATGATGTCTCTCTATTTGATCTTCCAATAATGTATTTAGAAATCTATCTGTATGTTTATATTTTATGAGAACCTAGAGGTGTTTACATAGTACTATGAGTCCGAAGGAATTGGAGTTTCTTAGTTGTAATTAGAATTAGCTGATAAAAATATTCAAAATATTTTTGATTGACCGACACATCGATCGAGGCGTATTGTTTTTGTAATTTTTTTTTTAATTAAATAGATTTATTTTGAAAACAATTTTCATGCATTCACAACATCCTTTTTAGGGGTGCGCGCGGTCCGGTTCCTGACGGAACCGAACCGGCATTCACGGTTCGATTCCGGTTCGGTTCCTTGGAACCGTGAGTCTTCCTTCCTCTAGAGCTTCGCAAATCTCCATCCACCCCTCTTCCTTCCAAGGCTTGATATGAAAGGTCATTCCGGTACGCAAAAAAAAAAAACAAAAATATATGGGTTTTGATTACAAAACAAGAATCACAGACCTTGAATAGTTGATTTAGAAAAAAAATTAAAACAAAACCCATACATACAAGTTAGCAGTTGCAGAGAGAGAGGGGAGCAAGCTTGAGAGTTGAGAGACAGCGGCTGAAGCTTGCGAACGGCGAACCCGAACCAGAACAGCGGGCGATGGGGAAACTGAAAGATATGGGTTTTGATTTTTTGAACAATCTGAAATGATATGCCGATATGGGTTTTGAACTTTTGATTCTTGCAGACAGATAGATAAACTGAAATATATGGGTTTTGAACTTCTGAGTCTTGTAGATTTTGTAGTTTGTAGTTGCAGAGAGAGAGAGGGCAAGTTCAGAGTCGAGAACGAGAATAGAGATGGAGGCGATTGGGGAGGCTGAGCCGCTGAAATGATTTGCCCTAAAAAAATATATTTTTTTAGGTGTAGAGTTACTAATAATACAATCAAATATAATATATATATATATATTACAGTTCGGTTCTGGAACCGGAACCGTGAGATCGGAACCGGAACCAAACCGAAACTTGACGGTTCCTCATTTTAGGAACCGGAACCGTGAGAACTGGAACCGAAGCCCCGGTTCGGTTCCACGGTTCCTCGGTTCTTTTGTGCACCCCTAAATCCTTTTCATAAACTAAAACATGTATGCATTATGTTTAAAATGAGACATGATAAGAATGCATAATTATGACCCCCTAATTGGTGAGTTAATCCTTCAAAAGGTGACTTTACCTTTTTGCTCTTCGATGTATCTTCAAATTCTGATTCTTCTACCTTGGATGTAGTACTTAAATCTAATCAAAAGTTTTTTTTTAAATTTTTTTTAAAGAAAGAAGAAGAAGAAGACAGACTCCGACTTTTGTTACAAAATTTGCTAACACTAAGCTCTAATCCTAACAATCTTCCCATTTGTAAATTTCATGACAAACCAAAATAAACTGAGCAATTCATAAATAATATAAAAGACTCAAAGACTTAAAAAGTTGTGTCTTTATTTTTTTTTTTTTGAAAGGAAGTTGCCTGTCTTCTATGGAATTTCTAAGATCCTGCAAAGCATAGATAAACAACTATATCCATGCATCATATCAATGTTATTTTTTTTTTGATAAGTAAAAATATTGTAAATGCGTCGTATCAATGTTGTGAAAGAAGTAAAACATAATTGAAGCACAATAATAAACCATAAATATAATTTCACAATTTAGATGTGCAATCTCCCCTTTAATTGCTAACTTCTCCCTAAATCATAAATCGTATGATAACTATGTCTTTTTTCTCCATATCTAATCCATGCAAACAAATTAAAATTGCCCCTTAGGATACTCGATTCTAATGGCAAATATTCATAATATGAAAGGAGAGAGTAAAATTTTTAAAGGCGTCCAATGTAACTTTACCAAAAAAATAAAATCATTTAGCACAAGCTCATCTTTTCAATTATCATGACAGCTTTCACACTAGTAGGTAGCTAGCTAGCTTTTCCATAGGCATAAATATGTATTATTTTACTTTATTGTTCTTTTCTTCATTTTTTTCCTTTTCTAGGTAGCTTGAGAAAAATCGCATAGGTATTCCTTTCCACAAATTCAACCATCTTAACATAATATTTTATTGTATCCTTGACTGTCATATTGAAACATCATCGTTTTCCATGCATAATCATTTTGATTCTCAAACCAAAATTTCAATTATTAAGTTCACATCTCTGATTTATGAGTATATATAAAAGGGTGTGCAATATCTAATTCTGTTCCACTAGTGAAGTTTCAAAATAGTTTCCTTTGATTTTCTAAATCAACTACTAATTTTTCAATTTCTAATTCATTTTTTCCTTTTTAAATATATGACTTGGTCGAGTTCAGTTTCTAAAATTTTTACTTTGTCTAGTAGAGATTATTATTATTTTTATTTATTTTTAATTCTTCATTTAGAGATGGAGCTTTTTCTAATTCAAGTTTGAAACCATTTCATTCTATTTTAGTACCTTAAAAGTGTTTCGGTTTCTAGCTTGAAGACATTATGTTCATACTATGTGCTTTTTATTAGGTCAATAGGACTTACGTTGGCAAATTTCGTAGATTAAAACTAGAGTTTGTAACTTTTGGTTTAGGTTAGAAAAATTCAGAAGCTAGTGTTAGTTACTTCTCAAGGTCGAAGATGGAATTCATGGTACCTCCAAAAGGGTAATTGGTGATAGAGTTGTAACTTTTGTTTCAATTTCTAGCTTAGGTAGAACTTAGAAGAATTCAAAAGTTAGTTAGTGTTAGTTACTTTGCAAGGTCAAAGATATAATTCATTCTACATCTAAGGGTAATTTGGAATATTTTTCTACAAGGGTACAAATGTAATTTGACATTATGATACACACTCCATATTAGGGTTCAATGCATGCATAAATAAGGTTTCCTTAAATCACATTATTATTAATTTTTGATTCCTTAAGTCCTTCTAAACATGCATTAAAAGAGTTTTGGAAACTTCCTGATTTGGAATTTTTTTGTAAGTACTGAAGTGCAGTAGACTTCCATTTATTGAGGGATTGTTCGAGGGCCTGTGGAGGGCTGTCGATTGATCAATGGCAATTTGAATCAATCGAGCTGTAAGGAAAAGTTTTCCAATATGGCTGCAACTCGGATGAGCTAGCCAAGCCCAGCTCGAAGATATTCAGTCTTGGGCATCAATTTTTAAGATTCGGATCGGGCTTGGGTTAGTATATTGGGCAACCTGAACCTGTCCCGAAATAACCCGAATTATAAATTCGTTTTTTTTTTCATTTGGGTTTCATATTCAGAATGTTGTTTGATCATTTTTTGCACAATATAGCAATTTTACCCATTTGAGAAGAATAATTGTGCGGATCAACATGAATGGCTAATTCATCCATTGGAGGAAACGCGATAGCCAGCAAGAGATCCAAATACTTCCCATTAAATATTTATATTGTGCATAATGCATAATATCTTATTGGTACCAGGTATCATGGGATTTGAATGAGGAAGATGTTTACACCTGTTATTGGTATCAGGTATGATGTGGTTTGAACGAGGAAGATGGTTTTTCCTTGTTCTGCAACTTTCTATGAAGAGAGGTTTCACAAAGACCCATCTTCTCTCTCTTCACATATAACTATTAAAGAGAACTGGTTTCTGCCTTTTTAGGGGGGGAAAAAACCATAGAAAGGCTGTTTTGGATTGAAGCTGTTGGATGAGATCCAACAGGCCTACTTGTAGTCACATATGTTGCTCCCTGCACATTAGGGAGCAACTGAACAGTTCTTTTTATATATATCATATGAGAATGGGTATATTTTAAATTTCTAATTGTACTCTATCGAAAAAGGAAACAAGCAATTGCATCCAAAAGAACGTATTTCTCACCCAACTCCTCGATTAATATATTCGTTCTCGAGAGCGCGGAACTTACTTCCATACCTTTGATTGGTTGTATGCATGAGAATAGGTGCTATGCAAAGCACCATATCATTTCAAGTCAGGCCTCACCAATTAAAATTAGAATCTCACTTTCCCGAACCCTAATAAATGCATAAAGCCCCTATTGCTGCTTGGTTCCTCGTCAGCCCTCACAAGACTCAAACCCTAACCTCTCCCCATAGATATATATATATATATAATTTTCTCTCCCCCTGCTCTCTCTCAAATGTATCTGCAGCCGACAACACTCACTGTTGCAAAGACCGTGTGAAATTTCAACGGCTTCCAATGAGCTTTTGGTCACCGTTGCTGATCTCCATTCCGCCTCTCACTCTTACACTATAACCCTTTGCTCAAACCCTATTTCTTAGTTCAATTTACAAACCCGATTTCAAAGATTTAGGAACAGGTTGAGCTAGGGTTGAAGATTGGGTTTGGCTTGGGTTATGGTCGAAGATTTCATACCTTGGGTTGATTCTTGGTTTTAAATTATACCTACTCTAATATCTCTATACTACTTTGTTGTCTGTGTATATATGATACCACGCAAAATTTAATAGAACTCTTAAGCAGAGAATACAAATAGAACGAGTGATTATTGTGAGTCTAAGAGTGCGTCTTGTTTTTCTTTTGCATTCATCATACATAATGTTGTTGAGTGGAATCTCATGTGAAGCTGATCATCTGCTGCCTGCATACTTCAATGAAGACTTCAGCGCTACTATTCAGTCTGTACACGCATATTAAGGGAAATAGAAAATGGGTGCTCCCTTTCAGAAAGTTTTAAAAAAGGGTAGTAGAACAAAGAAAGAGTACATGCTTGTTAGAAGAGTGTTGGAAATAAATTATTCATTAGATGTCTTGGTGAAATATTAGTTATAGAGAATTAGAAAGTAACTGATTAGTATTGTGACATTTGGATCGTAGGTTCGGTTTGCTGTCCTGAACGATTGTTTGCCGGTGGCAGAGGAAAAGTTCAAAAAGGTCATCAAGGAGAACTACTATACAAGAAACAAGTTTAATTGTCATCTTACCTCTGAACAGGTCCGTAGTCTTTTTTCTTTATATTTTTGCAAATATTTAAGTGCACAAATTTTAGTATCATCAAATTAATTAGCACTGTCACTACTTCCTTTGCGTCTCATGCCAGTAATATTGATGGCATTATATATTGAAACAGGTGAAGAACTTGTGTAAGCTTTTTCTTCCTGCTGGCAAAGGGACTAGACCTAAAAAGTTGGCAAGAAGTCTTGGAGCAGAAACCCGTTCATTTGTAGACCAAGACAGAAAAAGGGGAGCAGAAACCCGTACATTTGTAGGCCAAGACAGAAAAAGGGGAGCAGAAACCCGTACATTTGTAGGCCAGAATAGAAAAAGGGGAGCAGAAACCCGTACATTTGTAGGCCAGGACAGAAAAAGGAGAGCAGAGACCCATACATTTGTAGACCGAGACAGAAAAAGGAGGCGTGCTGTGGATGAAGAGAAGCGCTCTGCATATGGTAGGGAACGTCGTTACCATGAGCCTCCTGCTATGTATGAAAGAGGAGACAGAAAAAGGAGGCGTGCTCTGGATGAAGAGAAGCGATCTGCATTTGGTGGGGAACGTCGGTACCATGAGCGGCCTCCTACGTATGAAAGAGAGGCATTTGCATCTCCACTCGCACCTCTGCCCCGAGTTGCACCTTTACCTCCACCTGCTCTTGCTCCTCCTCCGTCATATGCTTATGAGAGGACCTTGGAGATAGACCCTTACGGACGGGACCCACGCTTTGAGCATCGTGGTCCTCGGCATTCAGAGTTGGAACAAAGGCCCCGAGATGAGATTGAATACCGTGATCCCTACAATTCATACAGGAACCCTTTTTTGCACCGTGACCCACTGTATTCAGCAGGCTTACAACCAGATTACCATCGTCCTGCTGTATCGACATCATCTGAGTATCGTCTTACAGGCCTTCCATCTGAGTACCGTCATGCAGCTGTTTTACCGCCCGAGTACAATTCTGGTCATGCAGCTGTTCCACTGCCCGAGTACACTCCTGGCCGATCTTTGTACCGATATTAGATTTCCAGCTTCAGAGAATGAGGAACAATACCGTTGGTCTTCCACCCCAGCATCTTTAAGATTTCTTTGGTTTTCAATTCTCTTGCTAAGCTTTATGTCGAGTTCAGGTAGTAACTTTTGACTTTGATAACGCGTTATTGTTGTTTATTTTTTTGCAACATTTAAATTATGCTTGGCGGTGCAAGATTAGTGAGATAATCGTGGGAGAGATTGTCAAAACCGGGTTTTCGATACACTCTTCAGTTAAGAATGCAATCTCTAAATTTTCTTTCGGACGCTTGTATGTATAGTTACATTGTCATCATCATAGTAGTGGCATTCTGTTTGAAGAAGTTCAGAAATTTGTGACCTTAGTACCTTGCCTTTGGTGCCAAAATAAATCAATTAGTTGCAGAATTAAAATAATCGTCTGATTTAGAGGAATTGAAAATTTTAAATGATACTAGAAAAAGCCTAATGACGCCTTTAAATCTGTACAAGAATGAATTTCATTATCATGCTTAACCTACAATTGTTTACATGCGAAAGGCCCAAGTATTGAAAAGGCTTGGGCTATCTCAAAGCTAAACTAGAGTAATTTAGATGATGCCCCTAACAGGGGATATGCGACGGGGGATGTCAGTTCAGGTGGTGTTATGTGGTGGGACACCTGTTGACATCTCTATATATACATATATATATATATATATACCTTGTGGTAAATCACGTCAACTCAAGGAGTTGGACCCTCTACTAACCAGGTATAATAGGGGATTTTTTTCACATCGGATTCCAATGGAAAAGTAATTGGGTATATATGGGCTGGATATTAATCCCAACTAATAGCTTAAACTTTTGGGTCGGATCACGAAGCACTCACTCGGTACAGTTGATATCAAAGTCAGATTCAGTCTTTAATCCGGTGTCACGCCAAGTGCCTAGCCCAGAGGGCGTTCAATTTCGCATCCCGAGTAGGAGCCTTAACGAAAGCGTTGCGAATTGGAGGTTGTTCCACATCGGATCGGATGGGAGAGTGATTGGATATATATGAACTTAATATTAATTTTATCTAATAACTTAGATTTTTAGGTCGAATCGGGAAACACTCACCTGTTACACTAGGTCAATGCCCACATCTTTCGAATCTAGATGTATCATTTTTCGAGACGGAAAGGTTTGCTTAAGGCTGAACCTTCTGCGGGGACTGTGATATGGGCCTTAAAATGATCAACTAACTTAAAAATATTTCGTATGGGTCCTGTCTATTGGGGGTAAACATTAATCGTCTTTGGAATCAAATCCCTTTGAAAAAGGAAAAGAAAATAAAAAGATTTGAAAAGAAATCCCATCTAGGCTTCATTTTGATAACTGAATGAATTTGAAAGGAGGAGATTAAAAGTTTGAACACAAAATAACGATCTTTGTGCGGCATGGATTTCAAATATCTTCAATCATTTTCTTATTTAAAAGGATAAGACTTATATGCATATAAAGCTATCAAATCAATCCATGTATATTATAAATTTCTCTCTCTCTCTCTATATATAGAGAGAGAGAGGGAGAGGGAGAGAGTTCTCATAAACTTAAAGATAGTGTCATATGATAGAGTTGAGGAATATAAAGTGAGGAATAAAGGGGAGAAGCTCTAATGAAAAAGAAATCATGATTTTTTTCAAATAGATTCTTTTTACGAGTGTTCCTTAAAAAAAAAAGAAAAGAAAGAAAAGAAACACGATTAGATGTAATAATTAGTTATGATTTAGTAATGTCTAATCAAACTTAAGGGAGGTTGGTGAAAAAACGAATTAGGGTGATAATAAATCCTGAAGATTTTCACGCGTAAATGAGGGCCATTTAATGAAGCTGGTGCCCAATAGAGATGATGTGTTTTGGACCGGTAGTCACTTTGTCCCTGTTTTTTTGGCATGTGGTCGGTGGCTTTCAATTATTTCCATCAACTAATCTCTTAATTACTTCTCCTTCCTCTTTTTTTCTCTCTCTAAAAAGGCCAACCTTTTGGGTATTTAATTAGAGGCCGTTAAGTTGGTTGTTGTAGTAGTTGGTCCTCAATTAGCTAAGCTTTGAGTATCTATGGCACTCAGAGTTGGAGTAGTATAAACAATTGGTTTCAGTACTTTGGTCTCTAAAGAGAGAAAACAAAGAGTAAACGACATATATAATGATGGTAGGACACACATATATAGTGATTCTATATAATTCAATTAATTTTTCTTTAATTCTGATTTTCACGACACTAATTTCATGCAATTGAATATTATAATAAAATAATATTTTTTTAAAAAAATCATTTGATAACAAAACTCGGGAATTCTTTTGTTTTATGATTTTACTTAATTACTGAATTAAGACAGTTAATAGGGATTTGTGACGATTTAAATAAATTATTTAATTTTTTTTAATAAAATAATTAAATAAAGAGAACTTATAACTTTGGTCATAAGTGAGTTCTCTCGATGAAATCTTTTGAATCCGATCGCGAAACACTCGGTCTGTTATTGTTGGTATCAGAGTCAAAATTTAATTATTGACCCGTTGCCACATCAAGTGTCTGCCTAGAGGGGTCCGGCTAGGTAGAGTATTCCGACCGCAACGAAAGCGTTGCAAGTTTACGTGAGAAATTTTTTTTCTAGAGCCCACGTCAAATCTAGATGAAGAAATGATTGGGTGTATATGAGTTGGGTGTTATCACCATCTAATGGCTTAAACTTTTAGGTTATAACGCAAAACAACCGGTATTACATATTTAAAAAAAAAAAAAAAAAGAGGTTCTAGAGTTGCAATAATGTCATGTTTGCTTGGTTTAGAAACTTACTAGCTTTTAGCAGGGATTGCGTAAAGCTGAAAACGAATAGAGTTTTTCATCAAAGAAGTAAAATATATTGGTCCCAGACGTCCAACCATTGGTTTTATAAAAGCCCGGCAAAAGTTCTTGATGATCCCATGCATGCCCAACTTTATTAATACTTACTGTATAGCACATAATCATTATTTAAAAAAAAAAAAAAAAAAAAAAGTAGCAATTATTGGGTTTTGAATTTTTTAAAATTAGCATTATTGGGTTTTGAATAATTTTTTTCAAACTTTTATTGGGGGTAATTGATAAGGTTGTGCCTTTATTTAAGACTATGTTTCAAATGAATGTTGGAACAGAAAAACTTGGGACAGGTAAAATGGTTACTCTCAATTAACTGAAAATTCAATGATTTTAGAAAGATAAAAATTTATTCTAAAGAAAATTCTAAAATTTCCGACATTGCGACACGAACGTAGACAGCAAGTTCAAAAATTATTCCCATCTTACATAAATTTAAAGTTAAATGGTGAGTCCTACAAAAATAGAACATTATTCGAAAACCCTAATTGAGACCAATTCTTGAGTGGGAACACATTGGTTCCTAATTGAGACCACATTTTCACACCATCCAAACAATCTCATTTATGTCCATGCCATATTGAATTGTCAAATCAAATGGTCAAAAGTGATTAATGATGATCAAAGTGCATTTATTAATTCATGTGCATACATGGCCCTAAAAGTTTGACAAATGAGATGATGATTTCACAAGGGAGTGTATTACAAGTTAATTTAAACATCACATGGAGGGAAGAAAAATAGATTAAAAAAAATGAAAGAGATGGATCAAACAAACAAAAAGGATTGGTAGGGTCACATTCCACTCGTACCCTTTAGGAAGTTTCATATCACCCACATGCTTACAATAATCATGTCATCTCTCTAGTCTCTTCTCATACACATGCTCTCTCTCTCTCTCACTCACACACACACACACACACAGTGACACACAGCTAGAGCATGTTGGAACAAGTTTTGGGCTTTTTTAAGAGGAATGTAAACACATCCCATGTGATATATGATGTGTCATTCTGTTGGTACACAGAGAGCATGAAAATGCATTTTAACCAAACAATGCGCTTAAGGTGACACAAGAGACAATTTGGGGAACAGGCCTATCTAAAATTCTTTAGTTTTGGCCAATACCATTCACATCGTATCAATTACTTAGGAGTGTGGGTAGGAAAAAAAAAAATAGTACGGTATGGTACATCAAAATACGGTCGTGGAATTGAAGTATAGTCTTATGTTTTGTGTTTCGTAGGAAGGAAGCGGGATGGAGGGAAAATAAGAAAGAAGAAATAGACTTTTTTTCGCTTGGTACATAAGGGTAAGAAGAAAAGAAGATGCATGAGTCATCCTTCATCCTTCACAAATTTTCATTCTTTTAAATATTGACGGAAGACTCAAAGGAAAAAAGACAAATATAATGAACTATTATAAAAATTTTTAAATTACAAACATTTCCTTATAATTAACAATCTCTCATAACAAATAAAATAAAGTATTATCTCATTCTCTTCCTTTTCTCCCTTCCATTCAACTTTCTTATTTTTTCCCTTCTATTCAATTTTCTTCCTTTCAACCAAACAAAACATAATATTATGCCAACTTGGTTGATTCCAAAACTACCCTTGTGTCCGACTCGAGGAAACCTTTGCATGCCTCAACCTGGATCACGAATAAATGAAAATTTTATTGATAAGGCATTTTCAGTTGTAGCCAATATTCTATTATGAATAATTCTGGCAACTTTGGAAGAAAAAGAGGCATTTACTTATTATAGAGAGGTGCGATTTGATTTTTATTTTTATTATTTATTTATTTATTGCTCTTAGTCTTACAAGAAAGCCACATGATTCGGGATAGAAAGAAAATAAATAAATCTACTTGTTGAAGGTGAAATTTTGAAATAGAATAATCCCTTCTTTCATGTATCCTCCATTTTGATTGTAGATTTTGTTTTAATTGAATTTTTCGAAAACTACCAACCAAATAAGTTTCTATACAATTTTTTTCATTTTCGAACATTTCATAATTTGATAACTCATTTTTGTTATGTTTGATGGTGCAAAATAGATTTAGTTTGGTGGTAAAGATTTTGAAATTGTAGAACTTTTGGTGAAGTATAAGTTTATATTTCTAGAACTATATGATTGCAAATAGAGGTAAAGTGAAGAAATTATTATAAACACTTACTTTTTAACCACTCTTACCAATCAAAACTTTACTCTATTTATATATATATTGAGTGTGTGTCTGTGTGTGTGTGGACTTAATCACAAGGTCAAGAGCGCCATTGCATTGTCATTGACATTGCACCTGGTTTCACCTACCCACATGTAGCTGTTTAATTTCCGAGTATTGAGCCTGGATTGGTGGCAACAAATTTCCCCAATTTTTATTTCACTCCTGCTATAA